AATATAATTACTGAGTGACTGAATCTTCAAGACAATGGTTTGTCATTCCTTTTGGTTAATAGACTTCAGACATCTCCAGAAGTATTTCTTTAGAAATTTAAAACAATAATGGCTTTTAAGTACTTAATTTAGATTAAAAAGAAAAAGAAAAAGAATTACTGTTTAAAGTACTGCAAAATTATACCGAAAAAGAGTCGTTTTTAACTACTTATTTTATGTAGTCTATTTAAATCATTCTCTGATGACAATGCACATTGAAAGATGGATAAATATTGCATACATAATTGAATTCATCCAAGAATTGTAATTACTGAGAACTTTAGTGCTATAATTGACCTTAAGACGTGTTCGAAGTCAACGAAAAGATTAAACGGACACACAGTACCAATCTACACACAGTCCCTACGATCCCAACAGCCCACCTTTCAATGCTTTTGCCCCTGCAATCCGTGTGTAATTATGCCCCACCAGCTTTGGTTATGAATGCAATTTTCCAGCTTCCGCTTTTCCGCTTCGCGGAAAATGTTTTGTGCGGTTTGTGCGTTACATAATTAGTGCGACTAGCGACTGCTTTTGTGCATATTGTGCTGGTGCAGGTGCTGGTTTGGTATTATTCGTGGCAGATCTGGCATATGGCCATTAGGCAAATCAATAAATATTTGATTATAATTGTTGATTTACAATTATTTGGTCGCACGGAATGAATAAACAACAAATTGCCGAGCAATTTGTTCGGTCTAAAAGTACAAATAAATATCAAATAAAATTATTTACGGAAACGACAATTGAAATTGATTTATTTGAAAGCAAATTTGCAACCAAAATCGGATGAAAATTGATGTTTAATTAGTGAAATACCATTTCTGTAAAATACCTTCAGCTAGGAATTCACAGTAAACTCTGGACCCAAATTAGTTAAAGTGGGAAACTATTATGTTGGAAACGGTTTGCCGGTCTGCCAGGCATTTCCTCTCTTGGTCTCAAAGATTGGGGGAATTTCCCTTGAAGCATTTTAAAAGATTCATTTGGTTTTGGGTTCCCCGAAGAGCTCCATTCCTTGGCAAGCCATAGACGGCGAGTGTATTCCCCAAAGTAGCTGCCACATGCCACATGCCACTGCCACTCCCTCCACATACAACAGCAATTGTAGATTGCATTATTGGCCTTTGTTTGAGCCATTTTGTTGGCATGGTAGGGTCTCTCATTTGGTTTCGTTGTTTAGCCAATTCAATTATGCCCCGTCTGCTTTTGTTTGCTTTTGCTTTTGCTTTTGCTTTTGCTCCACTCCACTCCAACAGGCCCTTCTCCTACTCCAATAAGAATTGCCAGAGCCTGTGCCAGTGCCTGGGCCAGTGCCACTGCAGTGATGCCTATTACACACCTGTATGCACACATTTCTCGGCATTCAGTCACGCATAGGGCTCCCAGTACTCCCCTACGCCTACGTGAGCATTGACGGGGCAGCGAAATGAGTTTATAATAAGAATAATAATAATAATATGCTGGTGGCATAATGCATAAACATTTTGCCATTTATAAACGCCAGTCCTTACGGCAGGAGACCAGGAGAGAACGCAGGACATACCGGCAACGACTGGGGCACGTAATGGAAACGAGTTAAAAAGTGTTGGCCCCCACGCACACACTCACACAGGGAGAGAGGAACACACACACACACACACACATGTGCAGTGCATAATTGTGTCTGGGGAGAGGGGAGGCGGTGTGGGGTCTGCGCCTGGGAGGCCTTTACATTTTCCACGTGCTTGGGGTGAAAATGAGTGGCACTAATTTGATATGACATGAAATTAAATTTAAATAATTAAACGAATGCCTTTTGTGCTACTTTTGTTCTACCGTTGCGCTGCGGGCTGTCGGCTTTTCCTAGCCCACTTTTCACATTTTGTTTTCAATTAATTTCGAATCAACACCAGCTCTGGGCCATCCTTAAAGGTTGATTAAGGAATTACATTAGTTATTGATGAGAACTTGAAACTATGGAAACTGTATGCGTCTTAAACGCCTTCCCCTCGCTTAAATATAAATCCCATTGAACTATCGCCCGAAACGAGCATCAACCGCAGCAAATCAGCTCGTTTAATTTGAAAGCATTACGATATGTATCCATCGAATGCTGCTCAATGCTTAAATGGCGGCAATGAAAACAATTTTGCGTACAATCAACGAGTTGTGTGCGATTATTGCCCCTCGGGGGCTTTGCATACTTTTCCGCGCTCGGTGACAATTTCCAATTAAAACAAAAGCTGGTCGTATTTACTTAATGTGCTTTTCAATATATTTAAACAACTATGACAAGTATGTGGCCATGCATTCCACTCCCCCGAGGATACAGGACACTCACAGACTTCGAGTGAGAAATAGTTAATGAAAAATCTCGAATCAAAACCAATAATTCAATAGAGAGACTTCAGCGAGACAATGGCAATGGGAAGTGAAGTATTGTGCTTGTCAGGCTATAGATTTAATTAATGTTAACACGACGACTTTGACATGCACACAATACAAATAGTTCGAGCCCACACTCACACACATTCAGAAGGAGGAGGGCGGCATTCATTCCGGCTGCACTTGGCTCTGTGGATGACTGACAAATTGAAATGGTTGCCCGTTTGACTAAGTGACTGACTTTGCCTCAGACTACAATACACTCCATACTCATATATATATATATATATAAAGAGTACTCCTACGCAGCAATGCATTTGTGTGCGAGTGCTCAAGCATTTGCTTAATGTCTATTGTTGTACACACACTTTGGTATACGAGTATGGATAGTCAGGCGTATGCGTGTGAGAGGTTGTCATGTCTGGGCTATGCAGCTGCCATTTGGTTTGTTGGCACTCTAGTTGACTGGCTGGGTTTATTGTAAACATGTGTGCTAACAACTCCAAACCCCAGCGCAGGCAGTCGGTCCATCTCTAGACGTTCAAGACAATACCAGAGACACACTGTCTTTACTCTCTGGGCCATTAAATAGTGATTTCGCATGTGAAGTTCTTGTTCCAGAAGTTTAGCAGCAACTAACCGGAGAATCTCTTAAAGTATGCCAGATCCATCTGCGACTCGTATGTGCACTCAATTTAAGCAAAATGTCTAGGCAAAGTAGTTTAGTTATAAGTATAAAACAAGCTGGCACACTTTCAACACTAAGTCCATGCAGTGTTGCAAAACATCGACTTGGCGTTGCCACATTATATCCTAATCTAAAGATGATAGCATTTTCCTAAGCCCCCAGTAATACCCACTTTAAGCCTGTTCGAAATGTCCTTGTATCTACCACCGACTCCCGGCTTCCCTTCGATCCACCAGCCATAAAGTTCCACTCTGCTAATCCGCTGTGATTCGCTTTCATAACTTTATGTGTGTGCCATAAATTGTTCGGCAGAGCCCCTAAATTAATTGCCACTGACTTTTTAATTAACTAAAACTTAATTGTTCTCCCTGCTCCCCCAAGCCCCCCACTGTCCCGGTCAGCCGCATCTACCCGCACCGAAAATTCTGTGTTGCTGCTGTTTTTGTGTTGGCCACGCGCTGGCTTTTGTATTAATAGCTCGTAAATATAAATTTCCAGAAAACAAAAAACTAATTGGTTTATTTGTCTGGCGTATTTGGCATAAAATTCGGTGGCAGCAACAGAAATTTGCACGCTGCATGTGTTTTCGCCCCACAATTAAAGAGAGAGCGGGAAATGTTGGAAAATCCCAGCCAAAAATTCATAGCAAATGAGTAATGGGGAAAAACTTTAGCCGGTCCGATCGATTTTCACTTTGCTTTAAATTCCCTTTGGGTCAGATTTTTCATACGATTTTTTCAATTTCATATTGCGGACTTTTCCGCAGTTTTCCACCAGTTTTCTGCTGATGTCATTGCGAGCCACGAAAGTTTTACTATTATTGCCGTTCGGTTTTATTGCTGACTAAAGCAAAGTGTGCTGTCATTTATCGATTTTATAGCAACCCCTACTCCACTCCACTCCACATCCTCATCACACATCACCCACTCAATGGATGCCGTGCCTTATCGCAGTGCCATATCTATATGGACAACGCCTCTGTTTGATTTGCACGCATTAAACTGTAATCTGGTCAAGGTTTATATTGTGGTATTGTGGCTCATGCACATGGTTCTGGCCCTCTGGCTGGATCGTTTCATCTGGCTTTTGTTTATAGTACGAGTATCTCGATGCCAATCCATTTGCCAATTTCCATTTCATTCCATTCCCCCCATTCGATCCCAATTTTTAATGCGCCACGCAAAACATTTTGATTGATAGTTCGAATTTACATATGACTCAGCCGACGAATGCCAATGTACGTGTACGTACACGCGAGATCTGCATAATCTCGGATGAGGGATAGACAGTGCGTGACATGGCTGTAAGTCAAGAAGGTACTCAAGTACTTAGATAGGTGCATTGAATGAGGAGAATAGTCATTAGGTCTATCTATGGTCGTAGAGAGCTGAAAAATTATAAAAAAAAAAATTATAAAACTATCTTATTGATATTGATACCATTGGATAACATCAAATATACAACTTTAAGCTCAATTGTTTTTCATGATATTCTTTCAATGATTTCTTCCGTACTCAAATGATATTAGTTCCTTGATATATCTCCCCCCTCCCATTATTCAGCTATCTTGCAGGTGATTTGTTAAAAGTTCTTTTCATGCAATTGTTCTACCTTTTTGAAACGAACTGTACTGAATTTTATGGCACATCCGTTGGGGGCATTGTTTATCTATGAAAATTCTTTGAAGTACTTAGTTTTTCGAACGATCCTCAAGTGAGATCTGAGAGAATTCCAAACCCAAGATATAATTCGGAAAATATATCTATAGAGAATACATTTTTGCGGCGAAACATTAATCATTGACGAATTTTCCAGCGAATTTTCTCGGATTTCATTAATTTCCTTAAGGCATTCATGCCTTATCCAAATTTCAGCTGAAACCCAAACCGCATTGAAAACACACAAATTCCAAGTTATTTTCATCTCGTTTCTTATTGGTTCCTTTTCTTCGCTTCGCTTTCATCTCCCCATTCCAGTCCAATTTTTGTGCTATATGTTTCTCTATGTATATTGGACATTGAATCGATCAAAAATACATGCTCTTTTTTGTTGTCACATTTAAAAAAATAATTCCATTACAGTTACAACAATATTTGTGTGTGTGTGTGTTCTGTGTGTCTGTTCTAATGCATAAATGCGAAAATACAGGAAAATTATTATACAATCATATCCTTATGAGTGTATGTGTGTGTGTGTGTGTGTGTTTTCTATAAATAAATAATATATAAAGTTGGTTCTCTTCATTCATTCCCCTGAAGTTGCTCTCACTTTGTGTGTGTGTGTGTGTGTGTTGCAATAAATATTCTCTTTTTAACATGAATAAAAAATAAAGTTCCGCCAACAGTTTTCATACCGGAAAAACAATGCGTCTTCCATTTACAACAGTACATAACATTCATATATATGTATATATGTATAAATAGATTCCATATATGTGTAGGTATTTGTGTAGTTAGATATATATCAACAATTGCCCAGGTAGCAAGTTCTTTAAGAGTAAACGTAATAATAATAATCTATAGATGTATAAATATAAATGGTAATCGTAATAGTTTCCACTCCTCATCACTCTCTTCTCATCATCATTCTCTTCTCTTCTCTTCTCCTCTCCTCTCCTCTCATATCATATCATCGTAACAACAACAACTAGGGTTTCACAAATGGCACATACAGTTCAGATCAATAGGCATATAGTAGGTATATATATAGGTAGTATATATGTATAGGATATAGTGTTTAGGTATATAGTTTCTTTGTTTTGTTTTTGTTTTATGGTCCAGCCAGAAGTGTGGCTCGCGGACCTCTTGAAAAACCGAAAGAAAAACAAGTAAAAAGTGCACTCGCTTTTCTCAGCGGGCGTGAAATTTCATTTCGATGCTCGGGAAAAGTGAGTTAACAAAATGGTTTCGGTTTTCGGTTTCAGTTTCAGTTTCCGTTTCGGTTTGTGGACAACAAAATACTCAGTATTATTGCTTTAAGGCGGTGCCAAAAACCCTACGCGAAGGTGGAGGCATCAAATGTGGACCACTTGTTCAAGTATTTCATCATTGTTAACCATTAAAGCATCCTGAGCAGGGTCGCTCCCTCTGCTGCTGCTGGGATGGAGCGCCCAAAAATAACCAAAAAGTCGCGTACAACTTTTTGCACGACCGATCAGTCCTTCTTGTTGAGAAAGTGCAGGACGTAGTGCAGTACCAGATCGTAGCAGTACTTGTACTCGGTCATATTCTCGACGAGCTGCGGCCTGTGACGGCGCACCGTTTTGACGGCCTGAAAGACATCGACCTCCCCGTGCTGGATGACCTGCTCGATGCACGCATTCGCGGCACAGTAGACACCGGCCCGACTGCGACCATCGGGCGAGACAACGCAGACGGGGCCGTAGTCGACCTTGTTCCGCCAGATCTCCACCATGTTCATCAGGTACACCAGGGAGTTCGTGGAGCTGGGCACCTTGTGGCCCATCGGCCAGCAGGTGAGCTGGAACAGCTGGACGGTTCGGGTGGGCGCCTTCACGCCGGCCATCATCTCCGTGAGCGAGACGATCTTCTTGTTGATCTTGAACTCCCACTGCTTGATGTTCGTGTAGCTCTTCGACATTACGTAGTGCACGGAGAACACGGGGCCGTACTTCTCCATTTTGGACTTGTTCGGCCAGAAGGAGGGATACGACTGCGACTGGGAGGGCGGCTGGCACAGCACCACCACCGCGGAGCACTCCTGGTCGTATACCAGGGACCAGAACTCTCCCAGAGTGTGCTTCATGGGCCACTCGGTGACGATGTATTCGCGGGGCTTTGTATATCCGTCGACGAACACCGAGTTGATGTAGTCCGTGAAGGCGTTGCCCTGGAAGGAGGTGAGGTATGGCCGGAAGTTGTCCGGCGGCACGCACAGCACGTCCCTGTTCTTCTCTCTGTTGTCGGCGCGATGGCCTCCAGCACAGTCCCCGATGGTGAATCTCGGCGTCTGCTTGCAGATCTGATCGTACTCCATTTGGTACTCGTTCAGCTTGGTCCCGGAATTGCGACGGGCCTTGGCCTTCAGCCGATCCGAGAGCTCGGAGACGGGGAACCAGGTCTTGCCGCAGATAATGTGCTCCTCCAGGGTGTCGTAGATGAACTTGTACTGCTCCACATTCTCCACGAGACCCTTCCGCGATTGCCTCAGTTTCTTGAGGTAGCCGAAGACATTGAAGCACTCCTCCTCCTCGGCCAGTTCCAGATTGGCATCGATGGACATGTAGACGCCAGAGCGACCGCCGCCATCGCTGCAGTGGACCAGAATGGGTCCCCGCATGTCGTCCTCGTCCTTGATGATGTTACCCACGACCAGGCGCACCCTCCGGCGGAACTCCAGCAGGGCGTTGGAGAAGGGACACGAGTGGGAGTACCATTCCGTGTAGTGGAACTGCAGGATCAGCCGCTCGTCACAGACCTCGCCCTGCTCGTTCTTCTTGTAGAGCCGAAAGGTGCGAATGTGGAAGTTGGCCAGCTGCTCCTCCCTCACGATGTTGATGTGAATGTCGCCGTACGTCTCGTGCACCTCCATGTTGGCCGGCCAGTACTGGTGGCACATCACCTTGGCGAAGTCAAAGGTCTTGGTGAGCATCACGATGGCGCTGATGTTCTCCTGCCAGACCATGCGCCAGTAGGCGACCACTGTCTCGAGGACCGGTCCCTGGGTCACAATGTAGGCGTTCGGCTTGAGCAGACTGTCCACATAGGAGGCATTCACATAGTCCGAGTCCTGCAGCCCGCCCACCTTCTCCAGCACCACCCGATTGTAGTCGTATGGAATGCACTTGGGATTCTGGTTCTTCTCCTGGTTGTTCTTCTTCATCGCATGCCGACAGGTGTTCGACTCCACCTTGGCGGCTGTCTGGAACTCCAGCTTGTAGAGCACTGGGAACTTGCGGCGCAGATCGCACAGTTTGAGGAAGTGGCGTATATCGATGGGTCCGTTGGGTATCGTCTTCGAGAGGCTGTTGTTCTCGTCGCGGGCCTCCAGCTTTATCCGCTCGAACGAGAGCAGGCCGCTGTTCAGCATGCTCAGCTTTATCGTGTTCGGTATGGAGACAATGGCGCGGCTCTTGCGCTGCTGCTTCTCGACGTCATCGTACCGTGCAGATGACCTCGACCTGTGCTTGCTCTGCTTACCCCCTGCGCCCCCAGCTCCGCCTGCTGTTGTGGCTGCTGTCATGGCTGCTGCTGCTTGTGCTGCTTCTTCGCAGTTGTTCTCTGTAGGAGCTTCTGCTACTGCCTCTGACTCTGGTGACGCTGGTGCCCCTGCCTCTTGCCCTGCCACAAGCTGCTGCGTTGTCATCATCAATCACGATGCGGTGGCGAGGGTGTGCGTGGTCGTTCGTATAGGAGGAGGAAGTAGTCGATTAGTCCACTTGGCTCTTCATTTTGTCGGTGTTAGTACGGCTGGGGTTAGTAGTAATCGTTAGCTATTTGTTCACCTTTTCGCAATGGCAATGCGTTCCCGTTCGAAATACGATAGATATTTGGCCAGCAGGAATTTCGAATTTCGTGGTTGATTTTCTTGTGTGTTTCCTCTGTGTATCGCTCGCTGTGTATTTTGTGTATTCGTTTCGCTTTTATTTTCCTATTCTCTGCTTCCTTCTTTCTGGCTTTTCTCTTTTCTCTGTGGCCGTTCTCCACTACACTTCACAACTGCCACGGAGGTCTAGGTACAATTCTGGCAGCTGCCTCGTTGGGGCGAATTTCGTTCGTCGACTGAACCACAGTCCCCCACAAAGACACGAACCGAGCCGCATCTCAGCCATCCGATGGCATTTCCACCACACCACGAGCCCCACTCGGTGTGGCATTTTCGGGGCGAAATCCGGCAGCGAGAGAGCCACCAGAGCGGCCAGCGAGCGAGGAGAGTGCGTTTTCACCATGGCCCATGTGACCAACTGTCTGTGGCGCCTCTCGGGTGGGTGGGTGCCAGCGACGGGTATTTTTAGCGAGCGCGGGCGGACACTGTCGTTAAGTGGGGACACAGTGGCACCAAAGTGATTAAATTTAATGAAATGTCGGCTGCTTAAGGATTTTCATTAGCCCGCAGAACAAATTTGAATATTTCTTGGTAAGAGATGGCCCAAACAATAGGGCTAGAAATATGCTTTCAAGCCTCGATTCGTATGTGACTTCGTGCCTTGAGGAATTGGTATATATCCCCCAAAATATTCCTTAAAATTATAGCATTTACCATCATCTGGGATTATGTTTTCTTTCTTTCCTCTTCCAGCACTTATCGTTGATTCTTTAAGCAGTCCTTAAGCATAAATAATTACTAAGTATATCTTTCCATGGCATGTCTACCACTTTCCTTGTGCCTGGTCCCACTGTGCCATTCACCTTATAGTATGAATGAAAATTTCGATTTTCCCATTGCCTGGCCGTTTTACTGACGCGGCGAAAGATTTCCCATTTCGATTCCACCTCTTGCGCTCTTCCTATCTCTCGCTTTTCTTCGCTCTCCATTCCCAAATTTAGGCACTCTCTCGGCGCCTGCGCAGGGGAGAGTTTTTCACTTTTCATTTTCGTATTTTGTTCGGCGGCATCTATTGTTTTGAGAATGTGTAATTGAAAATTCCGCAGGTTAAATGAGGAAGTGACGCTGAGCTGATTTCGCCCTGGTATTTTCCATATTTAATTGGCAGGGCAGGGCAGGGCGCTAGTCCAGAAAAACAGATGACAGACGCAAACATCCGAGGAATATAATATGCATAAACAATCAAAATATTCCCCATTTGAGGACGGGAATGGCCTCAGTAAATTTGCATACATTTCCTGCCTCGAATCAACAGCTGCGGCAAATGGTTTGGTTTGTTGTTCTTTAAATTTTGCACTTTTGTTGCTACAAATTGTAGGTTTTCTTTTCGTATTCGTGTGGCTGTGCTTGTGCACATTTTATTTCCGCATGCACTTTGTCTGTCGCTGCGTTTCACTGTAAATAGCATTTGGCACTAGCCCACAGCCAAAGAGGAAGCGGACGGCGGCCAGAGGCCCGTCAAGATGTGCCATGAAGAACACCCAAAAAAAAACCAGAAAAAAGGATCGATCTGTGGCACCGAAACATGGGATACTCTTATAGATACGTCTATCTTTAGTTCTTAGAAAGAATTGTGTTCCTTGGCACTGTACAGATCGGTGCTCGGATCAGCTATACCCCATCGTAACGTAAAGGGTATGAAAACACACCATCGGATTGCGTTGTAATCATGTTTGAACATCATCATGACGGGGAAATTTCGAATTTCAAAATAATTACACAGCCAGAGTCTGAGAAGAGAACGGAAATATTGTAATTGCTTGTGCAGGCTGTTGTTGGGTGGAAATTCGGATCAAAATGCGTTTGTCTCGAGTGGCCTTGATGTTTGACAGAATCAAGTTTGATGACCTCCTTCTCTCATGTAGATTGCGCACAATTTTTCGAATGGAAATTCAAGATCAGACACGTCTTTACGGCCTATAGACTCCTCTTTCCCCTTGGCTATCATCCAATTACTCAAACCCATTTTGTTAGTCATGAAATCGATGCCGGGGAGCTCTCACAAATTCCGTTTAGAGCAATTTATAATATCCATAATGGTTGCAAGTATTCCTCGGCTGGTTGGCCGCTGCTTATGGGCCATTAGTTCTGGTTGGACCACAGAAACCGCTGGATAGTCGGTCGTGGGGGCCTAATTTAATATATATGATCCTGTGCTCAGGTCACACGAAAATCCCGCAGCAAAGCCGACCGGCAATTGTAAATTGTAGTAGGCACCTAATTTGAGAACTGTTGAACCATTTGGAGGGCAGGGCACAAGGCACAAAGCACGGGTGGCACGGTGCCACCCACAGAAAGGGCACTTAAGTACATAACTGCCTTGCCTTGCCTTGCCCGCCCACCATATTTCCCCTCCTCTCCTCCCCCCACCGACACACTGCACATGTTTATGGCCAGGCTAACAAAGCGTTGACTGCGGTTGACCGTAGTTACAATGAAGTTGAGCGGGGTGCTCGAAAGGACGTATCATCAGCGACCAAATCCCCGTGTAAGCCGGCGACTGACAGAGGCACAGGCCAGAGGACAGAGGACAGAGGACAGAGCACAGAGGACCCACGCAACACACAGGACCGACCGTTCAACTAATTAGCATTAAATCAGGTGTAACAAGAACAAGAGACGAGGAGGCACCGAAAGAGACTTACCTTCCCGAAGAGGGTGAGTCCGCCATGTTTCATATTGAAGGTCGGTGCGTCCGCATAACTCGAGTCGGCCCAGGGCGTGTGGCAAGTGGAGGTGAGTGTCATGTAGCGCACTCCGATCGCATAGAGAGTGCGTAGAACGGCCAGAGAGCCGCCCAGGGAGTGGCCGCCCTCGACGCCAGTCAGCGAGCAGACCTGTTGGTTCTTGTGGGCATCAATGATGTCTGCAAACGAAAGAAGATGGTACGGAAAAGGATTTAAAATATATTTCTCTCTACACGTATTTATTATGCTGATTGGAAGTGACAGTGTTTCAGCTGGAGTTCTGTGCGGTTTAAAACTTGGCTCTTGCCATAAGTAACATTTGTTGTTTCTGGTTATGGTCTGGTGTGGTCTGGTTTGGTTTGGTCTGTCATTCGCTCGAATGCCCCCATTGAGCACTACTCACACTGCGGATGCGGTTAGTCTTTGGTGTCAGTCTCCAAGTATCCCAGTATCCCAGTATCCCAGTGGTGCTCCATCTGTCAGTTTATCCTTTCTGTTTTGTGGATTCCCAGTCCCAGTCCCAGTGACCAGTAAAACAAAACATTTCGCTGTGCCATGCAATATTTACGCTTGTCTTGGCCAGAACCAAAACCAGAGGGACAGAGACAGAGACAGAGACAGGGCCCACAAGCAGCTTTGATCTGTTTCTTGACATTCTATTTTGTTGCCAAGGCACTTGTCAAAATACTTGAACATTGTTCGTTCCTCGTCCATTCATTTATTATTGTTTTTAGCCAGCAAAGCTTGAACAATGTTTGCTTAAATTTTGCTACTTGGCCAAGTTCTATGTGTGTGTGTGTGTGTGTGTCTATGTTTCGAGTGGAGTGCTGGGCCAAAAACTTTTAATGGCTTCAAATAATAATTTTCCTTTGACATTTTTCCAGAGTTTTTCAAGTGCATCAAAGTGTCGTTGATGAATATGAATATGTTTGGACGGCCTTCTGACCTTTTTCGAATATTAAAGAAATATTATTGGGTGAGGGGCAGTCCATTTAGATACTCGTATCAGCATATCCATTTCGATTTATCTGCAAATAAGTGGGGAAGCTTGTTTTCCTCCAGAGGGACTGGGAGCCCACTCTGGGGGTCGATTATAATTTGTTGCAGGCTATTCAAATCAAGCATTTTGTGTGCCAGCCAATTTTGATAACATTTCGAATGTGTCGCACACAAAAGGGAAATCGGGTTAATAAATTTTCCCCACATAACGAACGGGCAAACGGCAAACGGCAAACAGCCCTATTTCCTGTGAGACCCCAAAACGAACTGAGAAACGATAATCGGGAAAGGGGGAACGGGCGAAAGGGGGAACGGGAGAACAGGCAATGGCACTCCAAGACACAGGACGCAGGATTCGCTGGCAATAAGCAAATAAGCTCTGCAAAATCAAAAGCAATGGAGGCCAAGGAAACGGGAATTGTGCTCCAATGTTGGCTCTGGCTCTGGCGCTGGTTCTCCATTGTTGCTGGCAAAACCAAATACCTGCCACAAAAACCTGGTCGATGTCGGAAACGTCGTTGCCGTAAAACCCTAAAATATGGAGCAAATAAACAAATGTTCGGGCAGGACCAATACTTAGGGGACGGGACGGTGGGACGGTGCGGGACGGTGGGACGGTGCGGGACGGTGGAGAGGAATGATTCCTTCTTGCCATTTCTCTGGGATGCCACTGCTTCCACAGCCATTGCGGCACAGTCAAGGCAACAGAAAGGCAACTCAAAGGCACTAAAATGCGCCACGTGAGCTGAAGTTCAATTCCGGGGCAGGGACTACGACTCGGTCGCTCGCTCGCTCGCTCTTTGGTGCTGCATGTAATTGTCTGTGACTTCGGCCGGAGCGGAGCGTAGCGGACCGGAGTTCTGGTGACCAGGGCCGTAATGTATAATAGATGGCCCCAATGTATCGGATGCGAATTGAGGCAATACTCATAGCACACAGAGAGCGGCTCCACTCCTCTCCACCAATACGTTTCAAAATGAAAATCCCAACCAAATGCCACTTGACGCAATAAACCAAAAGCAATGGCAACAGCCACAGCAGCAGCAGCCCCAACAGTAGTGGCAGTGGCAGAAGAAGCTTTACAAAAGGGTAACAATGAAAGGGCAGTGAATGGGAGAGGATAGTGGCAGGTTGGATACCCTGAAGATGCTGAGGAAAAGCACTGAAGAGTTGTAGATGCTGAAGCATTCATTCTCTAAAAGGTACATGAATTATCATGGAATCTATATATCTATACTGCACCTCAAGTAATGTATCTTTCATTATTTTCAATATTTTTCAATATCTGTCCATTATATCTGTCCATTAGCATAGAAAATATCTTGTCGTATGATCTATTCCATATTTCAAATCGTTTTTATCCTTTGCTCAATCTGATTATAAAACATTTACTATCCAAATCATTCTAGCCTTAATATTGTCTATATATTCTATCGTTTATCATGTTCCCTAGTCCATAATTTCTTCATCATAATATCCCTATTCTCTAAGACCTCTGCTCACTGCTTTCCCCATACCCCATTCGGAAAGAGCATTGAAGTGTACAGCTTGATGCGACCAAATACCTCTTTCGATCCTTATTTTTCTTTCTGCTGCAGCAGAATGCAATTTTCTCAATATCCTTTTCTCGGACTCTTGATGGGGGGATGGTGGTTATGTTGGTGGAGGAGGAGGTGGTGGAGGAGGTGGAGTGGCAGTGTAAATTGAGGTTTACACTTTTGAAGGTGAAAATTGAAAATTGCAAATAAAAACGATTCTCACATTTGGAGAGTGAGCAAAGCAGAGGAGTGGCGTGTGAAGGAGGGGGGGCGAGTGTGAGTGTGAGTGAGAGTGAGAGGCAGATGTAAAGTAGCAGCAGAACGCTGGCAGGTGACAGGACAGGAAAGGACACTGCCACCAGGATATACTTCGAGGTGGAGCTTTGTGTCTCGTCTGGGAGAATGTTGTTGGGTTTATGGAGCGCGATTGTAACGCTCATTTGTTTAGTCGAGAGTGGGACCAGTACTTCGACCAGGACTTCAACTCCCGCTCGGACACGGACCAGTGCCAGGACTTGGTTTCGTATTCGGAGTGAGTGACGGGGCACGTCACTCGTCGCGTTGTGTTTCGGTTCGTTAGCTTTGCATTTTTTACAATCACATTGGCAGGGACCAGCGGCAGCTGGAAAGGAGTACCCCCGAGCAGGGTATGTGTGTGGCAGTGTGGCACGCCCTGCTGCATTTGCTCAATAGTCACTTGGATTCGCATTTTATTTACACGACATGTGAGCGAGGAGGAGCCAGGGGGAGCCAGTGGGAGCCAGGAGGAGGACACACAACAATTTCAACTGAATTTATTTGCAGTAGTTAAAATAAAATGTTGGGTTTTATTCAACAGCAGCTGGGATTTCAAAGGAAGACCAATGCAGGTTGTTTTGTTTTCGAGGCACTTTTTATTTTCGCACTCTGTTGTACTTTCTTTAGCTCTTGTTCAAAGTCAAAGGACTTTGGTTGATTTCTGTTCTGCTTTTGGGTCTTTGAACTAGAAAGAGTTTGTTTTGGGTGCAAAATCCTCAAAGGGGATGGCATGTGATCAAAAAGAGGTTTTATTTAGCACATATCTGCTCTGGTTATCCTTTGGATACTGATAGTGTAATGGATGGATGTCCTAATTGTCTCAAGTAAATGCAAATTTTGGATCAATCATCGGGCATAAGAAATCTGCAGATAAAAAACCAATGCCAATGCTGTCACCCCCTTTCCATTTCCATTTCCCCTTTCAGACACTTCCTTTATCTGTTGGCCATTTTCTCTACCATTCTTTTATGCTTCTCTCCATTGCTCTTCTTTATGGGGTTTTCTTTTTTTTTTCTCCCCGACTAGCAGAGTCCTCCAATTTTAATCAAATTTATTGCTCAATTTGCCACTTCACTCGCTTCATTCAATCCAATTTCCGTTGCGAACAAAAAAAAAAAAGAAAAAACCGCATCAATTAAGAGAAATTTTTATGCTGACTGCGAAAGAGACATCAGACGTCCCAGAAGATTGGCAAATTGTTCACTTTTCTGTTTGCTGCTCAGAGTTGTTGGGGGAAAGCTGCACATTTTCTTTGGGATCTGCGCACCTTTCATCGGAGGAAAACACATGCAAATGCCATTTCATCCGCTCCGTAATCCATTCGATCCTTTGTAGTACTCCACTCGATTCGCTGTACAATATTTGTTGCGGCTAAAAGTTTTCCTGTTTTATATTTCTTGTTATTTTGTCTTCAGCCATGATTTATTGACATTTCCATTTACGGCTACGTAAATGTTTCAACGCAAATGCCGGAAGCGATTTGTTGGTTATGCTTTCAGTTTTCGTTTTCGTTTCCCTTTCAGTTTTCCTTTGGCCGTTTTCCTGTGCATGCAGCTGCAATACAAAAAATATGGCCAAGACTCGACTCAGACTCGAGTGGAAAATGGCCCAGGCAGAGGCAGGGAGTGCAAATCAAAATGCAAAACGGAAAACAAACAGGGAAACGCAACACAAATGCTGGCCGGGGAGTCGAAGCATAAGTCAGAAGTTGCTACTTCTGCAATTTCTGTGCTTTTGTGCAGCTTTGCGATACCCTTGAAGAGGGTATAATGTTCCTCCCAGATGATGGATATGCAGAACAGGAGGTGCTTTTGAGCCTCTAGAGGATACAGTGGACTCGGCGTCAGTCAGCGTTCAAGTTCAAGTGAAGGGTGTCTTCTTGTTTCATGGACCTTTCTCTTAGCTTCAGATCTGATGCTGAAGACACTGCTGGTGCTCTCAGGGTATCTACAGTTTCGGCACCCAAATCTATAGTTCTTGTTCCATGTTCTGTTTGCTATTTGGCAAGTGCTCTTGCGGCTGACTTACAAAGAAATATGGACTGTTTTTCTTCGCTTAAACGAGGCCTCTCCGGTGCGGCAACTATGTAGGTAAGTGCAGCGTATCAAAGGAAATGGTGCAAAAATATGGCACGCGGTAAGCAGCTGCCTCAAGGGCCGCCGCCGCCGCCACTGCTACTGCCACTGCCGCTGCGGACTCCTGCCGCGGCTACTGCCACAGTTGCAGCAACTGCTTTTTGGTAGTCGGCCAAGATACTTTTCAACAACTTTGCCAAAGACTCGCGAGTCAAAGTTTTCCGGCATAGCTTTCGCTCACCCCCCCCACCAAAAAAAAACTGAACCCAAGAGTGCAAAACGAACAACTCGAATGCCTGGCATACTTTCCTTGCCTTTCCGTTCAGTTTTGGTTTAGGTCTGGTTTGGGGAAACTTTCGGGGAATGTTTTTTTTTTGTTTACTGGTATAGGTCCTGCCCACGCGGCGTATGTGTGATATTTGGCTGACTGTTGACTTACCCTGCGCCGAGGTGCACGTGGTTAACTGCGGGGAGTACCGATCCGTGAGGCGCTTGATCACATCAATCTGCTCCAAAGTGAGCTGCACAGCATCCCGATGCTGGGCCTCGCAGGGCACATATGCGGCCCAGAACTGCAAAAGAGAAACAGATTGGAAATCATTAGAATGAAAGAATATTTTGTGGAATATTTTCACATTGATGGGAATATTTTAAGCTTTACTTATGGGCTATATAACCCTATAACATATGGCAAAGACTAAACTATACCCAAAGCCTCTTGCGAGGCGCACTAAAGACTTACTTTTCGGTATAAGAAATCCAACAACGAAGTACACGGTCTTTGGGAACCATAAAATGTAGCCCAAGAGAGAACTAAAGACCCAGAACTCCGCGTACCAGCACCACGAAGCCTCGAACGTGTTGCCTGTTGCAATATCTTTGTATTTTATAGTGTTTTCCGATAGTATCTACAAACAAAACTTAAGTAACCCTACTTGGAAGTTCGCTTCTTAAGTCAGTGATATTTATTATCCGCAGCACCTTTTCTTTTCCTTCAAAAACTTTTTTGTTAATTGCACCTTATTACGGAAAAAGTGATATATATCCCTTTATAAATAGCGACTCCTCAAGAGAGCACCGAAACAACAAACAAAAACAACAAAAAATCCCAGCAAAGAAGCGGGAAAACTGTTCTATCACGTTATATCATTAAAGGAAATAAAAGCACGTACGTGTCTCCTTGGACCTGGGAGTGGAAAGTGGCAAAAAACAATTCCGGAAACACAACCAAACAAAAAAAAAGAGCAATTAAAAAGTTTTGGCTTTTTGCTGGGCATAAAAAGGAGGAGGTGGAGAAGCAGTAGCGGAGCAGAGCAGAGCGGAGCGGAGAGAAAGCCCTGGCAAATGTAATAAATAATTTTTAATATAAATTCGTGAGAGAGGCCCAAGCAGAGGAACCAGGAACCATGAGCCATGAACCATGAGCCATGAGCCATGAGCCAGGAAGAAGCAAAGAACATTCTCTGGGTCTTTGGCCAGGCACGTATCCAGGCTCCTCTCCCGGCTGCCGATTTTGGGAGGCCCTGCCTCAAGGCAGTAAATTAAAAGCAAAACAAGGAACACTCTAAATGTGCATTTGTTCTGTTTGCAGGAGGAGGCCATACATCAGGATGAAGCTCCTGCCGCTCTTCCTCTCTCCTGTTGATGATGATGATAAAGTTTGGCGTAATTCATAGAGAAATTTCGGAGCTCGGCCGGCATCCGAGATGTGCATATGAAATATGTAAAACTTTTCAATAAACGAGTCACAGAAAAACAATTACCATCCCGGCGAGTGCGGCGGCGGGTCTGAAGTGTTCGTCGAGTTAGTTGTGCAATTGGATTTGCGGGAGCTCCCCTTTGGGTCAACCTGGCTGTTGGCTCTGCATTTGTGCAATTTTAATTGCACAACAGACGTGGAAATTTGTGGAGTCCCCACACACACACTCTATCTCTCTCTCTCTCTCTTTATGCTCAACCAAATAAACACTGAACAATAACAAGGACAACTGCAAATTTTATTCCCAGAACCAGGCAAAAGTTTATCCACCTGGACCTGCATCCTGCATCCTGCAGCCCCAACCACCTACTATTCCCAGTGTTGATTTTTAGTTCAGTTTCTCCTTTTCATTTCAGACAGAGCTCACTTATGCAGAGCATACTGGAACGTACATACGTACGTACGTGCTATCCATGGAACGGGCTGCCGGATGGGCTCTCGGCTCTGGACTCTGGACTATGGATGGTATGGGTATGGATGTGGTGTGGTGTGGTGTGCGGTGGTGTGTGCGAGGAGGGGCCTATCAGGTGGCCAAAGTGCATGAACTAATGTTCAATTCGGGTTAATTGTATGGACTATACAGTGCTAACTATGCCCTGACTGCGTTCATTACCATTTTGCGTTCATTTGCGTACTTTTCCCCTCTGCAGATATTCTATCTCCCGGGGCATTACTCGTAGGTCTCCCTGTTCCTGTCGTCCCATCTATGGGCTCTGGGCTTTGGGTGTAATAATGAAATGCACCGATAAACGATAGCCATGCTAATGCCTCTTGTTTTTGTATTCCTCGAACTGCTGCTGGGTGCAAAACTTAAACATTTTTCGTGTAAAATATGATTGAAGCGCATATGATTCCGCCTCTGGTAATTTGCTTAATTACGAGAACTAATTCAATGGCTATGGAAAGCTTCGTAAATGTGAAATTTTCAAGCTGCTAACGACCTGCGAGGGGATTATTTCAAGTCTGATTATGTTGGGTGATGGCTGGGAGAAAGAACATCTGTTGTTGGGGAAAAGCAAAAGGTGCAAGGAATGGTATGGTAATGCTAATGGTGTAAAAACACTTCATAAACCTCCTTGTATTTAAATTTTAATTGGGTGCTGGAAAGATTTAGCATACAAAGAGTGCTTTCACGAGGTTAGATCGAGACGCAGGTATTCAACGGGGTGCGAAAATGCAGAATGAGTCAGAAATCACCGTCGGACATGGGAAATGCGGGTGGTGACCGGTTGAAACATGATTGGGAACGTAACTAGCATTGTGTGGGTTCTCGGTTGCAAGCTAAAGCCTTCCAAGAGCCATGTGGATCGTGTGGATTGTGATAACAGCGCGAGCTCGCGATAACAGGCTGTTAACCTGGTGTGCTAACAGCGCGGTTGTCCCATAACAGCTGTTCCTCTGAATAAAGAGCAATGTGATTATGATTAAAACCTCTTCCAATCCTAATTAATTGCAACTTATTATAGATTCCATAAATGATTCACCAAACCGCAAAAAAACACATTCATTAGTTCATTAGATACATTCCAGTTTCCTGTTTCCCTTCCATTTAGATACCACCATTCTCAACACCTATTTAGGTAGAAGTACATTCCCGCCTCCGTATCTCCGACTCCCTTATCGATTAGAGCACAGCACAACTCTTTCGCTTCACAGAAAAAAAAAAAAACAGTCCCCGCCCCGAAATAAAGCAATTTGCAGTAAAAGTATTCTTTTTTCGTTTTGTGTGGCATTGCTGTCTGAACATTTTGCCAGGCAGATAAGGTAAATGCCCCGACACTTCGACATTACCGCAGACAGCGGACTCTTAGAGGCAGACAGAGGAGAACTGGGGGAAGGGCCAGGAAAAAAACCTCTCGCTTGCTTTTTTTTGGGCGCTTTGTTGGCGTTATTTTGACGCGTACTTTGCATTTCTCCGGCCCTTTTTTTTGGTGGTTCGTTTTGTTTAATTTTTCCGCGAGAGTCGGGGAAAAGCCTCTTAAAACATTTTTGCAGGCATTAAAAGCGGTCGAGTGCGGTGGGGGCTTGGAGATGAGTTGTCTGAATGTCCGTCTGGCATTTGATTGAGCGAGGAGTGAGAGGCAGAGGAGAAAGCACCGACTGAAAGACAGGCAACAGGTAACGCGTCGTATGAGCAATTTTCTAAGCCCCAAGCCAGGGGTTTTTGAAGCGATGATTGTGTTTTGCAGAATTTTCCTTGTATTTTCGTTGTATTTTCCTTGGATTTTCTCGGTGTATTTTCAGTGTGTTGTGCCTCTGTGCTTTGTTCAGCTTCTGCCAGTTCGAGGCTGCATTCTTTCGAGGCTCAGGCCCTGGCAGTGGCTCTGGGGGCAGGAAAATATTTCATTTATGGCAATTCTCCTGCGGCACCTGTTGATGGTTGGCCCTGTGTGTGTGTGTGTTATCCCATCCTTGTATCCTTGCAGCCTCGCAGGCTCGTATGACTTTACAATGGCAAAGTACCTTTGTTTGTATTCCAGCAGAGAAAAGCAGGAGTGACGGAGATGGAGACGGGGACCGAGAGACCCATCAGGAGTGGCTGCCTTTTGTGTGTTTGCTTTCAAAGGCCTCTTCAAGTGTGTTTAAGTCCCGGCACTTGGCCATTAGCCACATGCCACGCCCACCTGTATACTATATGGGTAGTACCATCGTCGTCGACGTCGTCATTATCATTGTCGCCAAAGTGTTGTCAACGTCTCAATGGCGTCGCCCTGTGGTATCCGCATCATCAGGAACACGATGATGAGGCATCTTCCAGGGAGTGTTGCCATCACCATTAACATTCTGCTGGTCCTGTGCATCCTTGTTCTACTCCTCCTCCGCCTGCTCCGCCTGCTCTGCCGCCCAAAGCATATTAATATTTAAAGTTGTTTGGCGGCGGCAACAACGGGAGGAGCATTTCCCTCAAGGACAACATTTGGGGGCTTCCAGTTAATTGTGAATGCTTCAGGTGTTGTAGGAGGCAACATGTAGGGACGCTGCGGTGCTGGGACGCTGGGATGCTGGGGGCTGTGGCTATACGGTGTTTTCCTTGGCTATATGCGTGATTTGTTGGCAATGGCTGGCACGTGTGAATGTGTTTGTTCTGTGTGTTCCGTGTGTGTGTCTGCGGTTATTTGTGCAACCTTGTGGCTAATGTAACTGTTGTCGTTCTTGCCGCTCCGACATTCATTTATTAAAGAGACTGCAGCAGCAGCTGGGGCCTGCGGCTGCCCAGAGCCTTGAGCAGATTTATGCTGCACATATAAATAATATATATCCAGTATTTAAATTCAAGGACTGCTTAAAGCGACTCAAGTTCTTGTCAGACTTTAAGTTGTGTCTCGTCAGAGACAACATTCAGCCTTGAAGAACGGCTTCACCGCAATAAATGTTTTATAATAATTAATTATTTTACAAAGCCCTGGAATAACTACATTGTTGCCTCAAGCATTCCATTTAATTAAAATGTATCCGAATAAAATACATCAAATGCAATGCCATTTCATCAGCATTCCCGAGCGTAGAACTCCTGGTATTTCGGTGTCAGTTGAATGCCTTGAATGTGTTTGCTGGGAATTTAAAATGTACTGGGTTTTCCCTTCGGAGGAAGCCTTGAGATTTGATTGCCTTGCGGCGTTGTTTGCTGGCTGCCTGCCTGCCTGCACTGTCCCTTCTGCTGCCTGCAAATGAATGCATACCATAATTATTATGAAAGGGGAAATGCCAGCAGCTTGTGGCGACTGGGCCCTGGACCCTGGGCCAAAGCCGCAAGTGCAACACCTTGGCCGGCCACCAACAGCTAGGCAGCAGGAGGCAAATACACAAGCCCGAGCAAATCCCCCAAACCAAAATCATTTACACAAGAGACAGACCGACAAAAACCTGGGACCGGCCCTGTCCCTGTCCCTGTCCCTGTCCGTGTCCATGTCCCTGGGCCCCTGCTGGGGGTTCAACGGGTACTTCCGCTCTTGTGTCTGTTGTCTAACCCAACACTAAATACTTTTTAAAAGTAAATATAAATTTCCAGCCAACGTTGCAACAAGATAAGCATTGCAGCAGAGCAACAAAAGGCGGCACGAAAAGTAGGCTCGAGTCGAATGGAGAAATACTCTTGGAGAACGAATAATGAACGAACGAATCAACTTTTGGGAGAGCTTTCAAAGAATCCTTTTAAAGGAAACTTCCATTTTAAGGTTCTTCCATTTTTGAAGCTAATTATGAACACATTTCAACCTCTGAGCAGGCCCCTTTGGAAGGGTATCACAGGGGACATGCAGCCATGTCCGCCGTGTCCTGCATGTCCTGGCCCAGATTACAGCCAGAAACGTCGTCGTTCTCGTTCTCGTCGACGACTGTTCGTTGCGGTCACATCCGCTCTGTGCCAGTCGCTGTTCGTTCCGTCCCGTCCCGTCCCGTCGGTCCTTCGTTGTAGCTTCCTACACTCCTACACACTGCCTGCCCGCCTCATCTCCTTCGTCCTTGGCATCTACCCACTGTCTGCCTATGTGTGTGTGTGCACTTTCCATTAGGCTGGCTATGTGTGTTCCGTGCCCCGAAAAGGCAGAGAAAAGGCAGAATGCAGCCAGCCATGCAGCCGGACAACCGTAACACGACGTTTCCGTGTCCTGGACCCAAAAACAGTAGCCAACTTTTTGGGTGTTTCATGATGCTCCAACATTGCTGCTACCTGCTACCTGAACACACTGACCCCCACCCCCCTCCCGCCACATTCTCTACGATATGCTCATCAGGGTCTAACCCAGGGCTTTCCCCAGGCACAGATGTTGGCTTCTGGGGGAATGCCTAAAAAATGTTGCCATTCTACAAGATTTCGACTGCTTTATGGTATTTACGTGATTTTCCAGCTTGTCTATTAAACGGCTTTCCCTTTTCCTCACTCTATAGAGAATACTCCTCTCGGTAGGCTCTCGGCATTTTTGTCTCTGTTTTTCTTGGGTTTTTTTTTCTTCAGTTCCAAGGCGCATTCGCTGCACGTTTGGCATTTCGGGCAACAATTGTTGAAACATGTTGTCAACTAGTTAGTTGCCACGTTGTTCTCCTGCCCGTTTTTGTTGCCGGTTGTCGTTGCCGGTTTTCAGTGGAGACCAAGTTTATTGAGTTAACTTGTTTGCTGAGCATTGAGTGTCGGCAAACTTCTCTCCACTCGAATCGGAGTTGTGCAACACATTAAGCCAAAGCAATAAAAACTATGCAGATTGCGGCTTAGTGAGGTCCCTCCAGGAGATGAAGAGCTTTCCTTTGAGGGATGGAAGTGTCGCGTACCGTGGAAAGTATACAGAGGTAGTCATTTTCTGTTGTTCAGGCCGATCAGTTGTGCTGTTAATACACGAGATTAACAGCCTGTTACTGCTGTCGGCTATCGCTCTCCGATAACAGACTGTTAGCGCTCTCTGCTTGCAGCTTGTTAGTTCTCTCTGGTAACGTCTGTTAGCGCTCTCTGTTAGTATGCTGTTAGTTCTCTCCGTTAACAGCCTATGGCCGCTCCCGCTTACAGCCTGTGGTTACTCTCCGTTAACAGCCTATGTTGACTGTCCGTTAACAGCCTGTGGCCGCTCCCGCTTACAGCGCACTGTTACTGCTATCTGGGCTGTCTCTTACGGCTCTTGAGAGGCTTTACCTTGTAGGCTAGTAATATTTACCAACCAAGCCCCAAAAAGAACAGCCGTAGGTATATATAACCGACATTTCCTATTTACCGTATTCATTTTTGAAGCCTTTTTCAGTCCTTTTTCAGTTATTCTATGAACCAATACGTATCGAATGAATCATTGATCCCTTTACGAGGATCAAAAAACTTACGAAGACATGCCTTAAGATTTAAATATGCCTGCGGATACCATATCATACCTGCAAGAGTATGCAAACTGTTCTTAAAGAAGCAATACCTTCATTCATGGTCCAATTGCTGTAACTAAAGTAGCTGCCTACTTCTCAAGGACCTATCCTAATAAACGCCCTTGAAAACCTCTTCGTGGCACACACACCTCTGTTGGTGTTTGAAATTAATGGGTACCAAAACACCCGGAAGCACACACTTGACAGCCCCATGCATGCCTCACTCGGTGGCAATTAACTTCCGTGAAAGTTGCACAATATTTTGCACACGGCAGTGAGTGCCGGCTGTCGACAGGGTTAAGTGAGTAGAAGAAGGAAGCCTCCGCCTCGTCAACAAGTTCAATTAGCAAACCGAAGAAACCAGAAATTGCCTCTATAACTTGCCACGCTCATCGAACCCGAGCATCAAGAAGTTTGCCACTGCACCGCCCAGAAGTGGTGTCGGGGGGGTGGCTGCAAGTTTCCTGTCTCAAGAGGCAGGCTCTGGGGGGAGAGTGGCTGGTGCGGTGCGCCATCCACTGGGAACATATCGCGGCTGTTTGGAAGTGTTAAGTTTTAATAAGCATCACATTTAGTGCTCCATAAAAGCCACCAAAGGTCCTGGCAGCAGGCAGAGTCGCCCTGCCCTGCCCTGCTCTGCCCCTGCTCTGCCCCTGTGTGGCAATGTGGCACTGTGGCACTGCGCCACTTGCTCTTCCTGTGATTACAAGAGTCATGCAGGCAGGAGGCAGGGCAGGGACTGTGGAGCCATTCGGTTGCGTAATTAAATTGAGTGCTGCATGATTTTAAATTGCGGCTGCCAGTGCTGGCAAGTTGCGAGTGAGAGTTGGCCAACTGCAATTACCTGTTAGCCCTCTTTCAGCATTCAGCGCAAACAAAAATGCAAGCGGAATTTATGGCCAGGAGGCGTGGCACGTGGAAAATGCATTGGAAAAGTTAATTCTCATTATGGCTGGAATGCTCCGCCATTCCTTTCGCTTTTCCTCAGCCATTTCTCTTTCGCGGCGAACGTGAAAAATCGTCTTTGCGGTTCGACTGGGGAAATGGAAAACGAACGGGAAAGCTGCGCAAATTCCCTGGACAATTTGAAGTATTCAAGTGGTTTTCGGTTTCCCCCCCCCCTCCATTGATTTATGAACTTTGGCTCTGGTTAATCGTTCCGACTTTTCCACGTTCCAGTTTCTGTATTTTCCGGGCAGTTTCCTTCATTAATCTTCCAATGCATTCCAATTCCTTGGCCGCCTGGCTACCTGACTGCCTGGCTGCTGGCTGCCCGTCAATTACAATGTCTAATATCCATTTCCAATTAGTTAAACGATTTGGCATGACTGCCAATCAGAGGCCTCCATTTGATCCACTTAAAGGAAAGCTTAAAAATTTCGTCCTCTCTCTTGAAATCGAGCCGAGAACGAATCAGTAAGGACATCGAGTGGATATTCCGACCACTTCCCGGGCCCCAGGTTGCCTGGCAAAAAATAATTAAGAACCTCATCATCGTCTTAGCCATCAGCCGCATCCACGGCCTGGACCAGGACCACCAGCAGGAAGATAGAGGAGCATCCATATCTTTGGAGTGGCCCATAATTAATATTTTTCTTGCCTTGTTCCACAGACTCAAAAGCAAAAGTCGCCTGTTGCCTGGACAACCACTTGCCAGCCGGATGAAATATTAAGGAAGCTTCCTTAATCGAGTGAAGAAGCAGTGAAGATGGCATGCTCTTTGGTGGCATCGAATGACATTGAAAGATAGTCTCGAAATGTTTAGTTTTCGAAGCTGTTCCAAGACCTTCTTCAAGGATTGTTTTGCCTCAAATTCCCCTTCTAAAAACCACTATACCCCACTGAAAAGCTAGGGTATCTTGCCACCTGCCAAGCTCAGTTTAAGTTACGTGCAATAATAATTTCAAGTGAGAGTGGATAGTGGATAGAGGTTGGCGGTCTGAGGTCAGTGGAGTGCTGGGCGTGACTGGGCAGCCTTTGGCCATCGCTCGCTTACCTGTGCTGATATGCGTCCCTTCTTCAGTCGCGTGAGGTCCGTGTGACTCCAGTGGCTACGTCCCCAGGGCATTACATTGCGCAAATCCTCATCGAAACTGTGGATGGAGGGGGCAGGGCCAGGGATAATAACACAAATTGGTATTAAAAATTAATTGCATTTTTGCCCCCACTCCTACGTCCCTGGTGGGGGTGGCATTGGAAGGATACTCACTTAAAGTCGTTGAGTTTGTTGTGCAGGAACTTGCGGATATTCCAGGGTAAATCGTTATGGCCATCGATTAAAGGCACTTGATCCAGCAGCTGAACGGCCACGCGTAGGCGTTCCTCAAAGGGTGCACCTACAGGGCGATGGGAAGATGGAATATGTGAGATGGTTTACTGGCAGGAGCGGCATCAGCAGCAGCAACAGCTTCTAACTAAGTTAGAGGCGCATTAGCACAATGGACACCCACTCTCGCACACACTCGCACTCGCACTGGCACTGGCACTGGCACTGGCACTGGCACTCGCAAATCGACTCAAAGATAGTGTGTGCGAGGCAACGTGTCGTATGCGTTATGGTAATTGATTTATTGTCCATGGAGAGTCTCCATGGGTCGCCTCTGCCTCCGCCTCTGCCTCCGCCTCTGCCTCTGTCTGTCTCTCTGGGTTTTGGATACTCACTTGCTGCCACACGTAGGGCCAGCGGCACGGCCACACTGGCAGCCCCAATTATCAAGAGTATGGAGCTCACAGCCAGCCAATGCTTGGCCGCATCGAATCCTGAGCACAGTAGGAGACAGGAGACACGAGAAAGGAGAAAGGAGACAGGAGCCAGGCGCCAGGAGGAATAGTAGCAGCCATACGACCCATGGGACACATAGGAGGCGGCATCAGCATTCATGATGACCAAGGGTTCCACATCCACATCCCAATCCATTGTTGTAGTTGTTATTGGCAGTTCAATGCCAAGTCGTTTGTAGCATCGTCGTCGTAGTCGTCGTCATCATCATCATCATTGTTCGTTGGTTTGTGTTGCATTTTGTGTGTGTGCAAATTGCCGTGACAGTGGCATTGATTACAGCAACAATAGCAGCAGGAGCAGCAACAACCATCGTAATGGTTGCACGACCGTCGTGCAGGGCATCAGGAAAGCAAAGAAGACCAGAGGCAACATCGACATCAAGTTGCGGTGTGTTCCCATCATCGGAGGAGCAGCAGCAAAAAAGAAACGATAATAAGGAAATATGGTTAGTTAAACGTTTAAAATTGAATTGCTGCCGAGTTGGTTTTGGCTTACAAAATGGGGAATCAAAGGGAGAGCGAGGGAATCAAGACGGTCTCGAATTCCATTCCAAGGATTGGAGACTGGAGTGCAGTAAATAAGCTTCGATCAAGCATGACCATACTCGTACGAGTATGTGGAGGAAATTAGCTGCTTTCAAAGAGGACTGCAGCCTGGGGCGATACTTTGTAATGCAAGAAAGGTTTTTGGTTTTTAGTTGGCTAAAGATGGCTTGTGGTGGAATTTAATTGGCTCACAAGAAGTAGGTAAAAGTACTTGATAAAACTGCTGATTGATAGACTAAGGCAGTCCACTGAAGACTGTCGAGTAACTAAGATATATCCAAGGCAGGGGTTTCGGGATAGCTGGCTTTATAGATAGAGGACTTGGTCCTGCAATAGTTTTTAGCACAGGAATATAGAGTATGGAATGCCCTGCATCCGCCTTCAATTCCATCTCTTAAGCAGGCTTAGCAACGCACAAGTTGCATGCCGCACAGCGACAGACACCCATTGTAGGATCTACAGATTATTTCTTATTACACTTCAACTTGACTGAATCTGAGTCGGAATCTGAATTCAGTTACAAATGAGCACATACGGGCATTAGATCGAAGGGCTTATTACATTGTTCGAGGGCTCTGCTCCTCCTCCTCCTCCTTTGGGAGACAAAGCCCAACGTCGGAACCAATGCAAATCTCATTATATGATTTCACTTATGTGGATATCAATGACAAGCTGGTAGTAATTTCTAATTGCAAACCAAATTTGATTGTGCAACTAAAACCGATTGATAAAGTGGCACAGCAGCAGGATGAGTAGAGGAAGCAGGAGCAGGAGCTTCAGCTGCAGCTGAAACTGAAGCTAAGCAAATAAGTCAACTGAGGCGAAAAACTAGCCAGAGGCATGGCCAGGGGAGGAGCAGGAGGATGCGGAGGAGTAGCAGCTCTGTGTGGAAAGCGGAGAGCGATGCGATGTATCCATTTGATTACAGTGGCCGGCACTTGTGCGAGTGAGTCCAAAGTGAATTACCGATAAGCAAGTGCAAACCTAACGAGGAAAAGCCATAGTCATAGACGGAGAACCAGGGAACCGGAGAACCAGCTCCTGCTGGCTCCTGCAACGATTTGCATAAATTTAAGGGGACAGGACGGGACGGGACAGGACAGGACAGGACATCGTCCACAGTTACGCAGTTTTTGACTGCTAACGAATTGCTGCAGTTGCCAGGGAGACATGACGAGGATGGGAATCAGATGGTAGCTGGATGACGATGATGATGCTGCTGCTGCTGGTGATGAGGAGGAGGACACCAACAGCGACAGCGACAACGAAAACGTTGCTGATTCTGCCTCTGCCTCTGCTCTGATGATGAGACCAAAGTCACGCGGGCATTGGCAACGTTTAACATTTAGCAGCCATGTTACACGAAGCGCAATCAAACGGCTAACGACTAAATGGAATTGCCCCCCAAGGGGGCGTGCCACACGGTGCACAAACGGGTAGCGGAATATTAAGTGCAATGCCATGTCGATGTCTGGCCAGCACTGCCCAACAGTTCAGAATTAGAGATAGAGAAAGGGAGACAGAGAGGGAGACAAAGAGAGAGAGGGAGAGCTATGTACTTTGTACAGAGAATTGTCATAAAGCTCTTTTCCGAATGCGTATTTGAACGAGGGAAAGGTCAGAAGTGCAACGGCGATTTTCGGATTGAAAAAGTTTTGAAGATCACGGAGTAAGGATTACAAAACAAGTTAAGAGTGCTTTCGAAAGTATAGCGACTGGCAGATGCCTTGTACTCAAGAGGATTTCCCTTTTTAGAAAGTCTCTTTGAAATCTCTCCCTTTTATGGGAGGGGAAGAAAGATAATTACGACTGCAAAGATTCTCTAGTTTAAAAAAAAAGCGGAAAAAATAATGAAATTTTGATGAAAGTTGGTAAATAAGTAAACAAATATGTTATAAACGATTCTATGAAATTTCAAACATATATCCTCGGAATTGTGGAAGCTATGACTTTTCTACACTGCACATTCGTAGGTGAAACGGATATCTTAAGATCTATTCATGAGTGGAATACATTAAACTCGAAAACTATAGAGGAATCTCCCATTCTTTAAACGGATAAAGAACCGAAAGATATGGAATAATTTAAGAACTTTCTGCCTACCATCTACCAGCAACGAATATACCCTCTTCCTTCGAGAGCTACTGGGTATAATAATCCACCATTTAAAATCCCCACTATCCCTCCCCGAATACTTACGGAATGAATTCGTTCCCGAGCTGGAGGAACCGCGACTGGGACACTGTCGGTGTTTCCATGGCATGATGCTCGTGACGCTCGAGTGCAGCTGGTGATGCTTTTGTGGCGTGACGGAGCCGGAGCCCGAGCCACCCACGACCGCATGGTGTGCATGATAATGATGCGGATGCGAGTGCGAGTGCGGATGCGGATGGGGATGGGTGTGCGGCTGTGCCTGCTGGTGCAGCGATGTCTGCGACTCGCGTTCTTTGAGCCCATGTCCGATTCCGATTCCGATGTCGCTGTCGAACGATGTCATGGTGAAGGTGGACGCGGCCAAGGCCCCACCGCTGCCGGCTCCCTGGTGTGGCGGCATTTTCTGATACGGCACTCGGCAGCCACCGCCGATGGCACTGCCTTCGATGTTGACCAAATTGCCAAAGCTGCGACTATTAATTGGCAATGTCCAGTCCATGCTGCTCGTGTGAAAGATGGCCGGCTGCTGTTGCAGTGGCAATGTGTGTTGCTGCTGCTGTTGCTGCTGCTGCTGGGCCCCCTGCTGCTGCTGTTGCTGCTGCTGGGGGAAGTTGAGCAGCGACTGGGAGAAGCAGCGGCAACGCTGCTGCTGGAAGTGGGCCAGCTGCTGCTGCTGGTGCTGCTTCTGCAGGTAGCGACTGTAGTGGGCCAGGTGTCGGGCATAATCGCTGCTCGGTCCGATGGTGTTGTATTTCGAGGCAGCACTTCCGTTTCCGGCTGCAGCCGTGGCTGGTGGCAGGAAGCACAGACTCGGATCCGATTTCTTCGAGTGGGGCGTGAAAATCTCATCCTCCTCGTGGGCAGCAAATGGCGGGTTCGGGGCATGTTTGCTCTGCGGCTTGCTCAGACTCTGGCTCTGGCTCTGGGCCTGGCTCTGATTGTGACTATGATTGTGGCCGTGACTGTGGCTATGCGTGTGGCAGATATCTGGCTTCGCATTATTATTGTTGTTGCAATGACTACTGCTGCTGTTGCTGTTGCTGCTGCTCTGATTGGCGGTGCTGGTGGTGGTGCACTGGAGCAGTGTGGCCGTGCACTCGTCCAGTGCGGATTTGGTGCACTCCTGCAACAGATCGCTGCTGCACAATTGAGCCAGATTGTTGTTGTGGCTGCCCGAGAAGGTCAACTGCTGCTGATTCTGCTGCTGCTGCTGCTGCAGATGTTGCAAGAGTCTGAGGCTCCGCATGCTGCCATTGCGCTTCATGGCAGGCGGCGGCGGCACGGGCGGTATGATGTCCACATCCGACAAGCTGGGCGTGTCGCACTGCCGAAGGGAGAAAGAGAGAGAGAGAGAGATACGGAGAAAGGAAGTGAGTATTCAGGCTGCTGACAAAAGGGGAAATCGCATTAAATCAATAGATATGACCACCTTCCGGCGGATGTAAGCACAAAGAGTGTTCTCTGGGAGAATGTTGAATATTCCCAGACTCCAAGTCCATTGAAAAGGCCCCAGCTCCCCCCCGTAAAATGTTGCGCCAAAATATTCATAAGAAGGCGATTTACTAGTCACACAAGAAGTGCTGTGTCCTGTGCCCTGTGTCCTGGCCCCTGGCTACATAAAATTTAATTATACCATAGACACCGAGGCAGACACATCCTCCCCTCACCCACGATGGGCGTGTGCGAAAAAAGGCCAAGAAAAAGGTTTAGCCACCCCCGAAATTTCTCTCGATTTCCACTTGGCAGGAACTCCAGGTCTCTCCTCGAAGTGCGCATCGTCATGGTCTCCCTAATTGAATTTGCTACGGTCAGCATCGGCATCGGCATCATCATCATCATAATCATTCGAAGCACCACTCCACTCCTCCTGGAGGAGGGCCAGGGGCAGGGGCATCTCGCAAAAGCACGCTCTGGGATTTGAAATTGAATTTCAGTTACGGGAAATACATTTGCATTGATTTGCCTCTACCACCCCCCCTACACACCCCAGGTTTTTCCTGGCACTTTTCTTTCCTTTCTCTGTATGTGTGTGTGTATTTTTATGCGTCTGCATTGCCATTAATAAAAATTTCCTTTGAATTTTGATTGCTTTATGGAACGCCATCCAACGTTATTGTTGTTGTCTGTGTCTCCATTTTTTGTACTTTCTTCTTGATTATTTTTTATTTACTCTGTCTTGTCGCAGAGCCCCTGAGTCCCTGGCCATGTCCTGTCCATGTCCCTGGCCATGTCCTGTCCGCCTCCTGTCTGTCCGCTGCTTAAGTGGAAATTGAAATTTTCATATTTTCATTTGGTAATTCTTTTCTTGCGCCCAGCCTGTCGCCAGCTCTAAATAATTTATGCAAATATTTAGCGGCGGCGTGTGCTGCATATTTTAAGTCCAGCCAATTTTCTCAACAGTTTTTGTATTTCGGTTTTTCTTATTTTTCCCCTCATTTTTCACATTGTTGTTGTTCTTGTTGTTGTTGTGATTTTGGCGGTTGGCAGGGGGGAGGGGAGAGCGGTAAGGTTAATTATTTCGAAATGTTTTTGTTTTCGTAATTTTTATGGGATCAAAGATATCCAATTAATGATTTATAAGTGGAATAGGTCAAAACATGCCTTGAATCGCAGGCTTTTGTCCCTAAAAATATTATTGGAAATTTATTCTTAGCTCCTGGAATCGATTCAACATCACATTTTTGCCCAAACTGGAAGAAAACTTGAATGAAATGTGGTTGGTACTTGTTGATAGATTTATTGTTTTTCTCTGCAGCCTTGCCGCAAATTTCTCTCATCTCTTTCTATCGGTGATTAAAGCCCTTTGATGTCCATTCGTTTAGGTGGCTCAAAGGGCAGCCGAAACCTTAAGTTCCTTATACTCTTAAATAAACGTTCTTAAGCTTGATGCTTATCAAAGGATTAAACGAGAGCTTAAACAGTATAAATATATCCCTGCAAATTGCCAGCCCAGACACTGCTCCTCCACCCAGGCCACTCCTTCTCTCAGCTCAAAGGGAAGCACTCCTCCAGCGACTCCTCCAGCGACTCCTCCAGCGACTCCTCCAGCGACTCCTCCAGCGACTCCTCCAGCGACTCCTCCAGCGACTCCTATTCTTCCATTCATCCCCTTTAAGCTTTCCTCTCTCCCTTGCAGCTGCTGTGACTGCAAATCACTCACTAATTAAACGCGCACTGGAGCAAAGTTCCCATTCCCCTTCGCCCTTCCCCCTCCCCTTACATACATGTGGAATAAATTCTGTGGGCCACAGTGCAGCCGAAAAGCATGCAACAGTATATGGTTATTTGGCGTTTATGCCGCAAATTTGACGCCATGTTTATGTGGCAGAGTTGCAAGTGGCACTGAATGGTGGCGGATGGGCGGTTGGGCGGTTGGGGGGAGGGGACAGCAGCAGGACTCGTGGTTAACCGCATCTCTCGTTGCGTTTTTGAGCATTAAATTGCTTGATATATCGCTTTAGTTTTTCTTTTCTATGCTACTTTTAGCCAGGGTTTTCCCTTCAGTTTAGAGGAGTTCCATTTTTTCATGGAGATTTTTTTTGCTCCTTTTTTTCTACTCCCAGCTTTCTCTTATTCTGTCATCTAGTACGCCATTTATACTCTTTGCTGAAGGGTAGTATGATTTTAAGAAGAGTTTTGCCTGTCAAAGGAGGAGTGAATTCTAGCAAAAACCGGAAAAATATCAGTTATATTCCAAGCCCCTGACTAGATGTGGTTCTTAAAGATATTTCTGTTCTTCCATGCAAATATTAGCTCTTTAAGTGTATCTACTTATTCAACCCAACCAGCTATCCTTCTTCCCTTTGGGTTCAGCTTCTCATCGTCCCCTCTCTTCCTCCTCATCAGCCCTTCTGCAGGCATCTTCTAGCCTTCATCTCTTGGCTTTACCCTTTTTGAATTATGCTTTGGCTCTTTGTCTCGTTTTAAATTTCATAATGCACATTTTATAATAATTTTTCGTCTACTTTGCTGCAATTTTGTGCAATTTTTTACCATAATTTATGTGTCTATATGCGTGTGGAGGGACCAGGCACCAGGCAGCAGGCACCAGCTCCTACCCGCCTACCCGCCTCGACTTTCTTGCTACAGTTACACAAAAATTTCTGCATCGCCACGAAATATGCCATAGAGGGAGCGATCTAGGGGCACCCTTTGTGTGTGTGTGTGTGTGTGTGTGTAATGTTGAGTTATGGCAGTTTTGTAGTTTGCGAGAAACTTTTTTACGAACATCTCGACTCGAGTCGAGTCGGGACTCACAGAGTCCCGGGTATTTAGTTAAATGTTCGTAAAATTGAGTGTTGGTTATATTTTAGCCCCAAAGTTCTCCGTGTCCCTGGCTGGTCCTTGCCCTTCCAGACATCCAGACATCCAGTACACACACACAATCGCATTTAATCGATTTGGCAAAAGCAATAAGCAAAAACTTTTATAAATACTCAAGTTTGTTTTAGTTTTGTATCCCCCTGCTCTGGGATTCCTGCCAATTTGTAATTATCCATCAGGCTCTTAACTTTACGACTTTATCAATGGCTATTTCGGGCATTACCGATGGGCAAGGGCGGAGCTTTAAAAACCATCTGATGGCGGACAAAACGAAGCAAAGTTTCTAATTATTGCAGCTGTAAAAGTTGCTCCATAAAAACTGCGAGTGTGAAGATTTATATGGCACTGTCCAGGGGTCTGTCCAGGACTTTATGAGTGGTGTTTTATCGGCAGAACTTATTAGATTGATGTGTTGGCTAGTGGTTTGTGCAGAATATAGCTGGAATACTGGGCTATTTTGAAGAAGTTCGTATAGAAATTGGCATGACTCTCTCTCTCAGTGTACTCCAGTCACCCATCCATCTATGGCCATCAATCCAGCAAAGAAGTTGATAAATTTAAAGCCCGACTGGCGAGTGTCTTTGGGAGGCAGTCTAACAACTAAATGGAGCTAAATGTAACGCATAGCGTAAATAAAAACTCAAAAACGTTGCTACTGGAGAGACAGCTACAGAAACAGAGAGGATGAACCGCAGCACTCCTTTCCTGATGCTGCACAGAGCACCCACGCATGCCACCAAATTGCAGCCACAATTTGCTGCAACAAACTCGACTGAAAGTGGGCCAGGCAGCGGGCGGCAGGCGGCAGGCAGGAGGCCCTTTCCCCATGGAAAGGCATACATCAAATGTGTCAAAGAGATTTGTTATGCATGACGGGGACCTCCCAGAAAAAGGGACCAGGAAAAAAGAGGAACCCACAACGAAATGTGGCACACACCCAGATCTGAGAGGGGAGTGACGAGTGGGTGGGGGGCGTGTGGGGTTGTCATTTTTGTAATTGCACGGGGTGCACCGAGTTAATTGTGATAAATGTTGCCGTCTGATTGGAATGGGGCTCAAGAAAGGCAACACTCCGTGCATATATATTGCTTTGCTTTATTTAACCGAAGCATATCCAAACTTCCTCAAGAGCAACACAGTATATGGTGTCATCAGAGTGTCGACTGTCGATGATGTCCGAAGTGTGCGACTCGAAATGATGTGTAAATCAATTGTGTGTCCATTAACAACGTCGTTTCCCCAAACGCAAAGCAATATAGAATTCCATAAAGAGTAACTAGATCAGATGGGTTTTCTTGGTGAAGGCGAGGAACTCCTCGCGAGTCACCTCGCCGTCGCCACTGGTGTTGGCCTCGTCGATCATCTCCTGCAACTCCTCATCGTTGAGGTCCTCGCCGAGCTCCTTGGCCACACGCTTCAGATTGTCAAAAGTGCAGCGATTGGTGCGATCGTCATCGAAGAAGGCAAAGGCCTTCAGCATATCCTCCATGGTGTCCTTCTCGGCCATCTTGCGACGCATTAGATACAGGAAATCATTGAACGCAATTAGACCCGTCTTGTCCTTGTCGATCTCATCCATCATGCTCTTGATCTCCTCCTTCTTGGGCTCAAAGCCCAAGGCACGGATGGCCACACGCAGCTCCTTGACCTCGATAAAGCCGGTGCATTCGGTATCGAACAGATCGAAGGCCTTCTTAATGTCCTTCTTCTGTTCCAGCGATAGATCGAAGGTCGGCAGACGGACCTTCTTCGCTTTCTTGGCCTTGGACAACGATGCCGTCGACTGCATCAGTGTCGCGGTCGACACAACGCTATCCATTTCAATCAAATTCTAGTTCCTAATCTTTTCTGAAAATTCTATTATCGATTTGTCGTTGCTAATGTTATTTTGGAAAATTTTACAAAAATCAGTTTCGGAAAAATCTTTTTACCGAAAAAAAGTTTTCTCCGAGTTTTTGTTGTGAACGTAAGCACGATCAGAGCTCGACTGGGAAAATACGAATGTTTTCCTCAACTATCGGTCGGTTCCAGCACAAAAACCTACTCGATTGAAAAAAGTTATCGAATGAACAAAAACCTCGAAAATCGAGCTACCCGATTAGGATCGTTTTTCGTTTGGGAGATCTGGGAAACTTTCGTAGGAGTCTTTCCTATCTGGGAAACCCCATATACCTTCCTGTAAACAGCAATCAGAATTGAAGAGAAACTTGAACCCTCCATCGCTCCTGCCTTTACGTAGTTGTAGATCCCCCAAAGACCCGGAACCGGACCCGGACCCGAACCCGGAGAACTGTTACCCGCAAAAAGCTAGCTGTCAAGGTGGCAAGTGGCATGCGGCAAGCGGTGGCAGGTGTCAGTCGCGGGCACCTCTGTGCGTGAGTGTTCGTTCTACGTGCCGCGAACTGTTTGCTTATCCCATTTGCCTGCCTGTTGCAGGCACGCGCCACGTGCCACGTGGATGCTCATGATTACAATTACATAAAGTGGGATGGGGAGGAGAACACTCACCTGCAGGTCCACCAATGCTCCGGTTGCCGTGCCCGCGCCCATTCCCATTCCCATTTCGATGGCGGATCCGGGTAAAGTCAGCGATAATTTACGATTACGCTCGCGCTCCAGTCTCATGAGTATCTGTGCGTTCTGCTCGCACGAGTATGTGTGGGTCTTCCGGCGCCGCTCCAGACTGTACTCGAAGAGCGGCCTTGCGGCGGCATCCGGCTGCAGCTGGAGCTGTGCCTCGTCGCCGGCGTCGCAGCTGCACAGCGACTGATTGCTGCGTCCCTTGCTGCGCTTCAGCGATCCGCGATGGGAGGAGGCAGGCGTCACCCGCTGTTCGCTCACAAAATTGGAGAAGGTAACCACATTGTGATTGCTGTTGCTGTTGCCGCCGCTGCCGGGTGGCGCCACCAGAGAGCCATTGGCAGGGACTCCTCCGTCAGCCCCTTTTCGCTTCGATGGCGACACATAGAAGATATCATGCTCATCGAACTCCACACTGCGCTGAGTGCTTCCCAGGCCTCCTAAGCCTCCTACACCGCCGCCACTGCTGGCACCTCCGCCTCCCAGGGCTGTGGTGGCCGTGGCCGTGCTGCTGCTCGTGGTGCTTGCCGCACTGTTGCCGCCACTGCTCAGGTTGCAGCCGTGATCCGCCAGCGAGTGCAGCAGGGGGTGGGGGTGGGGATGCTGGCCCACTCCCCGCACCGAGAGCTGCTTGTGGAGCCGCGGAACGGAGGCGTCCAGGCCATTAGCTCGTCTTAGTTCTGTCATGTCTTGCAGCGGCAAGGAAAGTGTTGTCGTCTCTTACTCTTTCTCCGATTCTCACTCTGCTCTGGCGCTGGCGCTGGCTCTGGCTCTCGCTCTGGCTCTGAGCTTGTCTCTAGCGACTTGCCGCCATGTCACAGCTTATTGTCATCACTTGGGGCTGGCTCTTGGCTTGTCTCTCGTCTCGTTTTGTGTCGTCTCTCGCTCGGCTTTGGCCTCATGAAATATTCATGCCCCAACACTCGACCCGTCGCTGTCGCTCTCTCCGTCTCCGTCTCTGTCTCTCTCTAAATCCGACGCATCAGCATATCACTTTGTGTGCCGTCTTTGATTTCCACCGACTCCTCCTTCTGCCATTCGCTTTTCTGCAATATTTTTAATTTTAAATTTCGGCTCCACTTTGTGGGTCCCGGCATGGGGGTGGGGCAGGGCCTAAGCCGGCTAACGATTTCCTTATGTCAATACAGCAGATTCGCAATCCGATTTGCCGGCTAACTGTTTCGATTCGGTTCCTGGCAGCCTCCTCTTCAGCTGCTGCTGCTCCTGCTCCTGCTCCTGGCATCGATGTCGCCTCATTGCCAGCTTTCACGTCTCACATTCCCATTCGAGGGTGGTGTTTTTTTCCCCCCAGATGAGAGGCTTGTTTGCCCTGTTAATAGACTTGGCTTAGTCGATCCTGCTGGTGCTGCTCCTCCTCCTCCTCCTCCTCCTTCTGGTTGTTTGTTCTATAATAACTGCAAAGAGACACACAGAGAGAGAGAGAGTGGGAGATTAGGCTTAGGCGATATGTGTGTGTGTTGAAAAGTCTATTCTAAATTGATTTCATTGTTTGCTCCCCAGAGGGGGAGCCTGTAATAAATTAGGGTGTGAGTTATTTACTTATTTACCAAGGCGCAAATTCCCAAAGCAAGCCAAAGACAAGAAATAAAGTGTATCTGCTAATGGGAAAGCATGTAAGTACATCAATCAATCAATCAAACACTGACCTGAATATCAGTTTTTGATTTATCACAAGAAACAATTTAAATACTGAGGAAAGTACCTTGAACTAGATACAGAACTACAGCAAGATACAGAGGGCAAAAGGCAGGGGTTAGGGCACAATAATCCCAATAGAACAATTAGCCAATAATCTGTGACGCAGTTCTTGGTTTCCTTCTTCGTTCTTTGTTATTTGTTTCACGTCTGAATGCCGAATGAATCGACTTATCGCACTAGATTATCGAGAATCAAATAAGATTTATCGAACTAGAGTATCGCTAAGACCTATCGGTTTAAATTTAATATCGAAGATCGGTCAGGGTTGATATCGGGGTATCGATGAGGGTATTAGGTGATGGGATCGGTTAGGGTATTCAGGTATTGATAGCCAGTGCCTTCTGTACCACACTGTAACCTACATATATACATATACATGTACTCCCGTACGGCAGTAGCTTAAGCATAATGAAATTATACAAGGTGGGCCGCTCCCGCCACGTGCTCTCTTTTCGGGTTTTCTCTTTTCTCAGTACAATAGCAAACTTCGTTTTTATCTACCTCGCTTCAAACATGGCTTCAGACCGGGCTGTCAGTAGCGCTGAGCGTAAAATAAGACCCGAAAGAGAGTTAGCGGACCACCATGTATAGTTTCGTCATGAGCCTATGCAGTCGTTATCTCGTTTCTTTCTTTTTTTCGCCTTCTCTATCGCTCTTTCGATCTGTCGCGCTCTCGCTTACATTTAGGCACGGGCAATTCATCCCGCCTGCCCTTGAATTGTGTCTATAACTAGCACTCCCTTCTTGGTCTTCTCTTGCGAGTAGATCTTCAATCCCAAACCATCCTGAATCGAGCTACTCATCCAACAGACTCGCCGTGCTCTAGTCGGAAACCTTACCCGAATTTTTCGCTATCCTTTCGATTCTGTATTGCATTCTAAGCCATCCTCCATCCCATCCCCAACCACCAAACGCTACTCAGTAGCTCAACAATGACCCACATTTTTATGATGTGTTTTATGAAATTTAAGTCATTTGATTTAATCCATTTCCAAGCTGCAGATTGCTCTCAGCAATCCCAAAAAGGTTTTCTAATTATCCGCCAAACCTTCATCTGTCTGGGGTTTGTGCTCCATTGATTTTGCTTCCCCCCCGGCACGTGCTGGAAAAGTTATTGTTCTTTTGATATCTCATTCAATCGAAGTTTCAGTAGCCATGCCATGTGATTTTGTGTGGAAAGTCGAAACGCCGCCTTATGCTAGGCAACCGTTTATTTGTTCGGCATTTTGTTTTCTAATATTTCGATGTCAAAAACTTTTCGCATAATCGATGGCAACTTTTTAATAAGCAAAAGCCGGCGCGAAACGAAAACAAAACGCCAGAGAACAAATATAATAATCAAGCAAACAGCCAGCCAGCCATCCACCGCACTATGGTCCGAACGACCACTTTTGTTGGCCAAAATTAATAACTCCCGAACGGAACAAGATTTTTTCATTTAGTTTTTTGTATTGGATACATATAATCAATAAGAAATGGATTTAAGAAAAAAAATGGGTGTGGCACCGCCCCTCTTTTTAATAATGCATATTTAAATTTTTAGTTATAGTGAAAAAAAGTATTAAGCATATTTTATTTAAGAAAACGGCGTTGCACGACTAAAAAAAATTTTGATTTAAATAAAAATAAAATCTTTTAAAGGTTTCCGTAAATTATTGCCGAAATCCTTGTCTAGAAGCAAGGTTAACGCCTCGTTAAGTGAGATACATATGTGCCGGCTTTCCGACTGGGTCCTGTACAGCCTTACGAACTTAGTTAGCATATTTGGACATAAAGATAAATGTATTATAACAAAGGCTTGTGGCCAATCCACATATTTTCGTTCAAACATCTTTGAATTTTACCGGCATTTGTTCCGGTATGTTGCCAAACGGTAACAAATTTTCTTGCTGGTATCTTCAAAAGCTTTATTAATTTAATATGATATGTCGCCTTATGATCCGTTTTCAAATAATTGATAATTTTACCCTTCTCTGAATTCCATTCGGCAAACAAATCTGCATTTTCGAATTTGAGGTTATGCTCTATTAATGCAAATTCCAAGAATTGTGGTAAAAAGTGGCATTTCTAACTATATACATTTCAAAAAGAATTTATTAATCTACGACACAGAAAAGGTTTCAGGGTGGGACTAGGTAGGACTCACTTTGTACACCTTTTCAAAAATTACTTTTCATTACAAGTTGGCACATGTTGAAGGCCTCACTTTAACCTTCAATTACGAAGACATCAGAACTACTAGAGACAGTTAAAAACTCAAAACACGTAGTAAGAACCCGACAGATTAAGATTCATCAAAAAAATTTAATCACGTCTTGGCGTTTTTCAATTTTTGAGATATCTAAAGTGGTTATTAATTTGCCACTTTTTCCCTTCACGTGCTTTACTATAAAAACAGTTGGGTTGCACAGCTGATTTTGCGAATGTGGCGCCATCTATGGAAATTTCTGGTACGCAGATTTAATGGTCGATCTTTTTCTAATGCAGAGCGATCAAAACCAGGTTTCAGTTTTGACTTTGAAAAATTAGGTTTTGGCCAACAAAAGTGGTCGTTCGGACCATAGTGCACCGGAAGAAGGAATTTGTCCATGAAAATGAAACCAAAGAATGGAGCAGAGGCACGGCTTGGGGGTCGTGGCTCTAAGCTCCCTCTCTCTCTCTCTCCACGGAGTGCCTGCCATGTAATAATAACGTTAAAAGATAATGAGAAAAGCCAACAACAAGTGGAAGTTTCACCGATCAGTGGGGATATACAATATATATGTATGTATGGAGCGGCAGCAGCCACCAATGAGGAGTAACAAATAGGCAACCGAAAGGCAAAGTTTCAAGAGTCAAGACCGTTGCCATCGTGTGTGTGGGTGTGCGTTATGTATCTGAGGATATTTATCGCTTCTTAAGTATTTTTAAGAAGTTTTCCGCCCGCCAACTTTTGTGTGTGTGTGTGTGTGTGTTGTGTCGCCTGTCGACAGCGAACACACACCAGCAAACATTTTTATCTTGGGCATATTTCGAGTGGCACTTCACTTGTCACAAGTCTGCACGAGGGGCGGGTGGGGGAGTGGAGGTCGTTGTTCTCTCCAACATTCTTTTAGCCAAAAGTTTTTGAAGGCTTTAATCAACTTGTGCCGCCTAATGAGCGCCTGTAATGAGTTAATTGTTTTGCATTCTTTGGCAGTTCAGAAAACTGTTCGGCAGTACTCGGTTGCTGCATTGTTTCGAAAATATCTCAGAGATTACCAAAAAAAAGTGTTGAATGTGTATTAAGAGGGGGTTTATTTTGTTGGAAGTTGAATTTTAGGAATCATTTCCACATATGAGACGCAAACTACTTTGGTTTTGTTGTTGAGTTTTATGACTGGAGCTTCGTAATTAATTTTGACATTGATTTTGGTATTGGACTTTATTCGGGTCCCAAAAAGGGTTTTTACGTCCAGGTCGTAAAGAGCCAGGCCACCCTGTGCTCCGATAACTAGCCTAGAGCCCTCGGAAGGACAACGACATGCACAAATGAAAATCTAATTTAGAGCAACACGCACAAAGGAGCCAAAGGCATGGGGCAAGGGGGACAAAGAAGGGTATGGAGAGGGTGGCGGGTGGGTGGCTGAGAGTCTGAGAGACATCCACAAGTGATACATGGCGTGGCTGGCAGGCAGTAAAAGCTTTAGCTTTCCTTTCATTTGCGTTTAAAGACCTCAAAAAGGACTTCCGCCTGCAGTGGCCTACAAATTAACATGCCCCAATCTGAGACTGTCTCTCTGCGTGTGTGTGTGTGTGTGTGCGTGTGTGTGGGTGGCATGAGTTATGAGTAAAGCAGCTGCAGACTTAATGGAAAATACTCGACCCGGGCCAAGAGTTTTGGGTCGAAAGAGCACGCAAGGCGTAAATTAGAAGACAAGAAAAAAATAAACAGGAAATGAATGGTTTTCTTGGGAGACCGAAGATATAAATACCCTAAAGGATATTGACAGTCCTATGATAGCTCTAAGAAAAAGACTAAGTGGTTTAATTTTCAGGAAAAGAGGGTATTTCTGGCTAATGATTGTTCTTAGGAATTCTTTATATCCTCTAAATGATATAAGCACATCAAAATGTGCAATATCTGATGTTTTTTGTTAGAAATTTTGACCTGTTCTCTTCAGAACGAAGATAGAACTTACTATTCAACCGATAGGTGCTTTCATATGATATTGTATGTGATATATCCTTCTTGTACCCTAAGAAATTCACAAGGAGGACATATGCCTGGGAGATATACGAATAGTAGTTTATGGATACAGATTTATTTCCAAACATCTGCTAAAAATCCTAATACCTTCTCTGAAAGGGTATAAGAACCAAAATGTCCGCAGCGCCCACGTATTTGCTCATGTGTGTATCTGCGTGTGTGCGCGTGTGAGTGCCTCGTAATAAGTTGTTGTAATACTCGCGTAACTCATAAATTAGACACGATCTATTACGGGATGGATTTATATGCACGAGGAGCCAGAAACAGAGACAGAGACAAGGACAGCCGCAGGAGCAAGTACTCCAATGAAGAGATCACGATGGTACAGGGACTGGGACATGGACTGGGATTTGGTTTGGATGTGTAATTTTTAATTTTTGACACGTAGCGTTAACCAAAAGCCCCGAACATGTGTTCTTGACATTGTAAAGAGCCCCCCTCCCCTCGAACGGGACGCACCATGGGAGCGTAAAACGTATACGAGTATGTATAAATATATTTTAAAATTCCAATTGCCAAACGATGCGTCGTAGGAGGACGAGATCGTATGAGTTCTCTGGCGGGCGGGGCCATAAATACCATTTTGGAGTGTATACCCGCCCATAGGTGGCCCATAAAAATTTGTTTAACACGCACACACACACACGTACGCACACAGACACAGCCAGACATACGCATGCATACATGGGCAAATCAAATTTATTTTATTTCACTTTTTTTTTTCCATCTCTTTGGGCGCTGCTGTCGTTTTTATGACAGCGCAGCAAATTAATGAAATTTACGCAATAAATCATTTCAGCACGAAAAAAATCTACTTAGGAGAGAGAGAGATAGTAAAATGTGTTAAACAAATAAAATATAAAAAAAATATGCATATTGTATCTAAAAGGTTGTAAAGTTAAACAAACATTGTGACAGTCTAGAGAAAGAGGAAAAAAGTGAATAAAAAATGATATATTGTGGCGGCATGGATGGTTAGGTTTACCAGCTGGGATTTTGGTCTTAAATTTTCAAATTAACACTTGACAGTGCTCTCAATTCCAATTTAATTAATTCCATAATTTTTGCTATTTAGTTGTTTGTCACTGGCTTTGAATTGTACAAGAAACCAGCAAATAAATATGTTAAACGATTAAATAAACAAACATCTAAAACATGAGACATTTTGGCATGGAAAAAATAGTCAAATAATAGAAAATATATTCAAAAGTCAACAGGTGCTTAAAGAGTTGAAGGATTGTCAAAGTGCTACCTCAGCAATATTCTAGGAAAAATATAAAGTAACCCCCTTACGCCCACGCCCTTTTATACCCACCCTTTGCCCCTTCAAGGACGAAATTCAGGGCAAACATTTAATCAATTTCCACAAATTTTCGCCACATTTCGCCTTATTAGAGAATATATATATTTCCCAGTCAGTTGGATTTGGCTAAGCTGCCACATTTATTAAAAGCAAAACTTTCGCAGCCTCGACATTCCCTTGCCCCTTGCCCCCCGCCCCCCTCCTCCGATTCAGCCTCTGGCCATTTAGCAATCCCATTCGCAACTCATATTTTTCGACTTGGCCCCAAAGTGCGTTGACTGCACTTTTGGCGCTCGCATAAAACTTTTTCGAGAGCACAGACCCCCCTACCCACATTCCCCCACAGTGTCATCTGGCTTTGTGAATCCCCCCCCCCCATTTCTAACTTCCTTGCAGCACATCCCCCATATCTCTCTCTCACTTTCTCGTCTGTAATTCTGCTTGCATCCGCTTCTGAAAAGTTACGCTGCATCCAAAAATTCAAGTGGTTGGACCAAAGGCTTTTAGCTGACTTAACACCCGGCAATACTCACACAGATACTAACACACACACACTCTAATATATTGCTGTAGTGCTTCCTGCCCTTCCATTCGCTTCACTTCCCCCCCTTTTTTAGTGGCCTCATAAAGCCCGAGCTTAAGCATGACCCCCCCTTCCCTTTCCCCGTGCCACGACTGGTGAAAGAAAGGGTTTCCTGCTTTTCGGCTAAAAATTTGCAAAAAGTCGCGCTTGAAAATTGTGCGTACATATACTCGTACATATATAATTGTATATGTGTGTGTGTATGACATGTATTTCAGGGGAGTGTGTGTGTGTGTACTTGGGACAAACAAAAGAGAAAATACAAAAAAAAAAGATGTTGTCGAGGATCTGGACAATGCGATACCCATTTCTCAGTGGTCCTCTGGGGTTTTCTTGATTATACATCTTAAAAACTACCAGATCGGAGGGTTTTCTACTTAAAGATGTCGGATAAAACGCACTCTGTGAGCACTGTTCACCGATACCCTACCATATTTTCCTTTGGAAATGTGAGTATAAGATCTGAGATCTGAGCATTGATAATGGTACAGTAGTGGATATCGGATGACCTTATCATCATCATTATGGAAATAAGTATTGAGATCCTTCTTAATTTACATTGGAGGTTCGATTCTCCGATATATAAACGGATATGATATGGCAGGTATGGACTCCGAAACACCTCCTCTTACAGTATTTTCCCTAAATCCAGCCTACCCCTGTGTTCCCATCTGAGTACAGGGTATGCTGGCAAAAAAAACCCTGCGCAATGCCGCGCGTGACTTAAAATAAAGAAATAACTTACAGAATAGTTCAAGTCAAACAATGCGCGACGTTTGCTCGAAGAATTTAACATGGATACGCTCTGGAAACTTCCCACCATTTCCCTATATATATTCTATGTACAGCTTTCGCTGTGGGCGTGGCTTTGGCTTCACCGGCAGTACGCGAGGTCCGGTCCGAGTTTTGCATGTTTTTGCCCTGACCCTTTTCTCCGAGTTTCTCTCCCTCTCTCTCTCTCTGTCTCTCTCTCGGACAGTCAGCAGCAAAAGTTTAGCACTTAATTTTTTCTTTTATTTTTTTTGTCATTTTCTTGGGGCTTGTGGCTGGGGCTTAGAGAGGAGGGTCAATCTTTGGGTCTCTTTGTTAGGTATTATTATTTTTATTTATGGTCAAACGCATTTCGACTGCATTCTGACTTATTTACGTACCTTCTGCGTCCTGTCGCTCTGTCGCTTTATCGCCGAGTCCTGGCCGAAAGTGACTGTGAAATCAGCTTGAGTTGGATTCGAGCTCCCAGTGAGATCTGTAATGGAAAAAGGAGGTAATCCGTTAATGATTTGTTTTATTTTTTGTTTTCTTGGAAGGGGACTTAGAGAAGAATATAAAGGTATGCTTTTATTCTTAATATTATGTTATTTTCTAAAAATGAGAAATTTTGACGCTGGTGCTTAGAGTTTTCCAGCGAATATACAAATATATAGAGCACATGACATGTTTGAAATGGAAGACTTCCCCCATTCAATCGTTTCCTTTTGTCAGGTTTACGATCCCGATATTAGTCAATAAATTCGTTAAATAATAGCCATTGGTGCAGTGGGATCTGGAATACATATTATACCGCAAATATGTATGCTTACGCGCGGCAGCGGCCGTTCTTTCGCCTCTCTATCCACCTTCCTCGTTCTTGCCGTTCCCTCGCGCTCAATTTGTCGTTCGTTCTCGGCTTAACTGCAGCTCAAACTTCTCAAGCGCTCTGCTTCTTTCGCTCTTTGGTGTTGTCTCGCTTTCGTTAGGGCTCGGACAATTCGGGGCAACAACATCCATGTAATATATACATATTGCTTAGATGATAGTGTATTGATATTATTAAATCGTTGTGGGCTGGTGCGTCTAACTTCATGGCTTGATCTCGGCTGACTTCTGCTACTGTCGCTGAAAGTTATGTACGTCTGGCTGCAGCGAGTCTCTTTTCCGATTTCTTTTGTTGTTGCTCTCCTTCTCTGCTGTGCTCTAATTCTGCCGCTGCAGCTTATCTGCTGTTGGTCTGCTATATATCTCGCTCTGCTGTTACTGCTGTTTCTCTTCTCTTTGTGTGCTGTTGATCTGCTGTTACTGCTACTGTTCTGCTCTTGCTCTGCTGTTAGTCTGCTCGTTGTCTGCTGATGATCTGCTGTTATTGCTGTTAATTCTGTTTCTCTTCTGTTCGACTGCTGTTACTGCTACTGTTCTGCTTTTGCTCTGGTGTTACTCTTCTGTTACTCTGCTGATACTCCGTTGCTGATCTGCTGTTACTGCTGTTGATCTGCTCTTGCTCTGCTGTTACTGCTACTGCTCAGCTCTTGCTCTGCTCGTTCGCTACTGTTGATCTGCTCTTGCTCTGCTGTTTGTCTGTTTTTACTCTGTTGTTAATCTGCTGTTACAGCCGTTGCTCTGCTGTTACTGCTGTTGATCTACTGTTAATCTGTTGCTGATCTGCTGCTATTGCTGTTCCGCATGCAGGAATCCCTCGGTCTGCATATAACAACAAACTGTGCATATTATTTAAACCCGCTCGACTTTTTGCTTAAATCAAACCTTAATAACTAGTGAACAAGCTCATTAGAATTCCACCTTTCACCAACTGAATTCAACCATCCATACTAATAAACATGTTCTACCAATATTCCAAAGTAGTTCCATCGTTGAAACCGTCGCATTGACTTTATACAATTTAAACAATAAATGTTTGCACATTTCTAGACATGTCGAACTAGCAATTATAAATATTTGCCATCATTCATTTCAATAGCCTCAATATTTGCACAAAATTCAATAACTTCAATCCCGCTTTGAATGATATTTTGTCATTTTAATTCATACCTGGATATTTTTCAATATTTCTCAAATATTCCCTTGCCATTTGCACTAATTAATTTACTTATTTTATTTGATTCCAGCTTTGACTGCTCCTTCAATCGTAAATTCGACAACAAATTGCTTAGATAGCTGGATAAATTTGTGGGAAATTTAATTTAAACAAATTTCTGGTTGATACGAGTATAACTTTTGGCTGTGCTGCTGCTATGCTGTTGCATATTTGCATAATATTAATTTGCATAATTATGTTGGCCATAAAGAAATCCTCTGGCCAATAACAATTATGAAAAGCCGCACAAACACAGCACAAATGCATTTACCACACCACATAGCACAGAGCTCACACACACACACACACACACACACACACACGCTGTCATAACTAACACAAACTTATTTATCCCCAGGGTCCGATTTATATTACTTCCCCGTTAGCCGCCATGAAGGCGTCCGTCGTCCGGCGTCCACTCTGGCCCCCTCCATGCCCTCCATGCATTCTGGAGGAGTACTCCAAGGTCTGCCACTGCCACTGGCTCTCGTTCTCGTACTCGTTCTAGTTCTGTAAATTTATCAGTGTCAAATATATAATAGCGCGCCCGTTTTCGCTTTTAATAATTTCCCCTGCCGAGGCGAGCATTTGGAGCGGAAATTGCCGAGCAGCTTCGAATGGGTTCTGGGTCTGGATTCTGGGGACTTGAAACAATGGACAGGCTCTCTCTTCAGCTGCAAGCGCTGCAGGACAGTGCCTCCGCTATCCTCCATATACCTCCAAGTAGAGTGCTCCATCTAAATTATTTCAATTGCAAAAGGTCCAGCGGGGAGACACGCTTTTTTGTTGGTTTCTACATCAAAGGCGTCATTAATTTAATTGAATTTTGTTTTTGCAGTTGAGCCTTGGTTTCCTTTCCTTTCGGTATCCTTGCGATTGGACTGGATTGAATTTGTTTGTTTTACATGCACAATTTGCAGGCGGCTCTCCGGCCCTCCGTCCCTCCGCCTCTCCCTCTCTCTGTGTCGTCTCTCTTTGACATTTGGTGAAACAAATTAAATTACCTTTTGCTGGAAAAAAATTATTATTCGCTAATGGAAAAACGAATTGAATTGGATTGGCCAACGTTAATGCCATGTTGAGGGCATTAATTGAACGCTTGACAAAGTGAGGAGATGTTTTTCCGGCGGGCAACTAAAATAGTTTTCCATCCATTAAGATTTCATAACGTGGTCCTGGCAGCGGCAAAAACTTTCGACATAAATTCGGGAACCTGGCTCTCATAAATATTACCCACTTACATCGATAAGGACGGCCGAGGATGGCAGCATAAAATATGCAGCGAGAGCCGAAACTTTTTTGTTTTTCCTCTCCTCTCCTTTTTTTTGTTTTTTTTTTGGTGAGCTATTGACTAAATACTTTGGCAAATTCATAAATTTAAGCACATCGTTGTAGCATAAATATTTAAAAAATGCCGAAAAATATATATAATAACGAAAAATGCTGAAGAGGAAAATTGAGTTGAAAAGTTCTCGTGCCGCATCCTCTATTTGGGGCACGGGGCAAGGAACTTTATTGGCTTGATTTTTTGAACATCATAAAAGTGAGCCGAAAAGGAAGAGCGGGACATCTGCTTTCTTATTCATGGGGATTGCTCATCAAAGCCTACTTAATGCCCAATATTGGCCATGGCTTAAACAGTTTTGACCATTTCATGAGGCCGGCCCCGAAAACTTTGTCAGGGCAAAAACTTTTGGCCCACTGGCCTGCCTTCTACGTTCTTGGATTTTTATTTTTTTCCTCCTTTGGGGGGATATTTATAAGGCTGCCACGTGGATATTGATATTGAATAGCGGTGGGCTCTGTGGAAATTCTGGCATTAATATGCGGCGTTGAACCCGCCATCGACTGGGAAAGGTGAGACAATTAGGCAGGGGGAGGAGGCCCTAAATGGGCCATGTCCTGTCTGAGGTGTTGTTTGGCTCCATTATCAGACACACACACACACACACACACCACCGCCGAAGGAGGAGGAGGAGCATTAGGCTTTAATAAGCCAATAAGTTTGCTCTCCGGTACGCCAGGCAGTGCTCAGGATATCCTCATTCTCCCATCCCGATGCCAGTGAGTGCATTAATATTTATGTTTTTATAACAGTCGGTGGATCCAGTCGAGTGGTTTTCCTCGGCAGTCTGGCCTGTCTGTCCATGCGTGCGTTATAAATAAAATTAAATGTATCTCTTAAGTTGAATATCCTCTGATCCCAATCCTCTACTCGTTCGGTGTCGATAATTCGACTTGGTTTTTGGATAATGAGATACTCCTTGAGCGGAGCAGGAGGAGGAGCAGCTTAATGATGCAGTCGTTAGCCCAAGGGTTGCTCCTGGGGATGGCTGGATGAGAAGTAATGTCTTATGACCGTAGCTGTAATTAGGTTCTGGGCATAACTAAGCATAATGCGGGATGCTATCACTTACGTGAGAGACGCGTTATCGCCAGACGACTTTGAAGGGGAATATGCAGAAAAATAAACCCAGGAATGAACACAAGAAATCCCCAGAAAAGGGCTTTACCCAACGCTCTTTTGCTTACCATTCAAATTCCTGCGGTTTAATCCACTCGAAATTCTTACAAGTTTCGTTCCTAAGACTAAAAACTAAATTTGAAGTTTATGTACTTCGACTTTGCTAACTAGCTAAAATAGTTCCCCATGCACACTCTACACACCACAATCTCTACTCCACCCACACTCCTGCCACTCCCAGCCAAGATTATGGCCCTTCTAAGTATGCAACACTTTTGGCGCAAGTTTCCTTCTGCTCTTCTGCTCCTTCTATGATATTCTGGCACCTTATCTATACGAGTGTGTGTGTGTGTGTGTGTGTGCTGGGAGCCAACAGCTTTATCAAACATTTTTGTGTTACAGGCACGCGACTGAAATAAAAATAATGATCAACTGAAGCATAGTGTACTCTCGTACGAGAGGGGAAACACCGGGGGCAAGATATTCGGGAATATCCGTGGGAGAACAACAGAGAGAGACAGAGAGAGAGCTATAATAACAAGAACAACCTCAACAGTTCAAAGAATTAACTCACATGCCTGGCATAATAAACATAACGTCTTTTGCCTTGGCTTTTCCATTTTCTCTTTTGTTTTTTTGCTCCGCTTTTCCCCATTTCCCCACCATTTGGTGGTGTATTTTTGTGTTTTTTTTTTTGTGTGTTTTCGTCTCTGCTGGCACTGCTGCTGCTTTATGTTTACTTATCCGCCTCTGTAGGCGGCTTTTGTTGCCTTTACTGTTGGCTGTTCTTCTTGGCTGCCTTTCTGCCTTTCATTTGGGGGGGCCTGGTTAACACGCCGCGAGCCATGAGCCCTGGGAGCCCCGAGAGCAAACGAGAACAGGCCGGGCAAACATGCTGGAAAATGGCATAAGCTTGTAGCCTTTCGGCCTTGGT